CTGAAAGAAACATCATTCTCCCATTACGAAAATTTGAAGTGTATCTAACTTAGTATAGTGTGTTTGTAGATTTTACTTGGTGCTTTCCGAGTACTCGGATTCTATACGAGTTGGGGCTATCCTCTATTAGTCATCGTCGACGTCACTATGGGCCTTGATTTAACTACAGAGTGATGAATACAAAGTTGATTTATCAGCTATGAAAAGACCTTTCAGCTTAAAGACATAAATACCGCAGTGCATGTCTCTCTTGGTCCTCTACGTCGGCTGGGCTTTTTACCAAACTGATGGACAAAATGGAGGCTTTGAAGGGACAGACAGCATTCATCGTTCGTACCCATGGATAGTGAACTTCAGAGATGCTAATTATGTTATAGACTGGATCCTCTATGGGTATTGGCGAAGCCATTGCATTGGCGCTGGCTGAGCATGGCGTGAATATTGCCCTAGTATCTCGAAGCAAGGTGCGGACCGATCAAACAAACCCTTGGGCCATTCACTGATGAGTGTCTTGGATGTAGGATAAGCTTGAAACAGTGCGCGATAAGATCACATCCAGATTCCCTGAGGTCAAGGTCGGAGTCTACCCTGTCGATATTCAGAACCAGCCCGACATAGAAAAGGCAGTGAAGTCGGCCATATCTGAGCTTGGCCAGATTGACATCTTGATCAACAATGTGAGTGGACGACATCTCTATGAGACTGATATCTAAGTACTAACAACCTCGCAGGCCGGTCTTGCACTCGGCGCCCCCGGACGCTTTTGGGAAATCCCCATCGATCAAGTCGCCCAGATGTCAAACACCAACATCAACGGCGTCATGTTCACCACCCACGCAGTACTCAACCACTCAATGTGGGAACGAAAGAAAGGAACCATCATCAACGTCTCCTCAGTCACAGGCCTCGAGTGTCCACCCTTCAACGGCGAAGCAGTTTATCACGCGTCAAAAGCCTTCCTTGAGGGCTTCTCCAACAGTCTTCGCATGGAAACTGCCGGATCAGATATCAGGGTTTTAGTTCTTCGACCAGGTGTTGTACAGACACATTTCCATCTTCAACGCGTTCAGTACGATCAGAGTGCTATGGATGACTTTGTCGAGGGGTATGAGCCGCTGGTTGCAGAGGATTTAGCGCAGTCGGTATTGTACATGCTCAGCTTACCGCCTCGCGTCTCTATCAAGGCTTTGGATTGCGTACCTACTGCGCAGAGGGCGCTGACAAACTTTGATCGGGAGTGGAACTCACGTCGCGAATAGCTGCAAGAATAGAGTCTAAGCAGCAAGGAAATAAAAGGATTCAGCGAAAACTGGTTCACAAGATGACGCTATCTTCATCCATAAGGACTAATATCTCTAGTTTTATGATCTACTTTCTACATATAGGAGCGCTTCTTATAGCTCAAGCAGAGTTTCCCCGACTCTTTCTTTTTCTTCTTGTTTTTCCAATGCTGAGATCTCTCAAATGGCACCTTTCGCAACAGTACCCCCCTCTGTCTATTTCCCCGCCGCATTTTGGACATCGACCCTTCTCGCGCCGTCTGTGGTAGAGGGCTAGGCTTGAAGCAGAGCCTTTCTTAGAGCACGGGGGGCACCTATACTTGTCAGAGGGCCTGCCGCAGTCGGCGCATTGTTTGGTCGTCTCGCCAGTGATTGGATCTCTGACGCCCTGACTTCGGCGCTTCTGGACGCGAGCTCGCCTTTGAGCCGACATTCTATCTAGACAATCGCCGCAACGCTTGCGGTTCGCTCGGACTGGATTGCGGCACGACCGGATTTTGCATATGACAGGTTCACTGTCTTGAGTGGTGGCTTGGCTGGCTGTTTCGTCCGCAAGGGATAGACTGTCAGTTGAATTAGCGAGATGGCTTGCAACAGGAGGAGATGGATTCAGGATGTAACTAAAATCGAAGGGCTTGGGACGAAAGCGTCTACCCTGTCCTCGCTGACCCCAATACTTCCTCGAAGGCATGATGATCTGGTTTGGTTTAGTTTCGAGTAACCGCAGAGAAACGCCCTGGTAAGTTTCGACTAAGTCCAGTTGGGCAAGGTGATCAATAAGTCGATGATCTTGTTGAAGTCCCAATTGTTGGTGCAGTATCACATTTTATAGCAGATCTACACCTCGTAATACCATGGAGCCTTTCTTCAATGTCCTACCGACAAGATTCTGATGTTCATTTGTGCTGGAGGTGATCGGGCTACTTATGAAGGTTCAGGTTCTGTTCGAAGCTCAAGTACAAAGTACACAATTCTGGGTGTGGAATTGTTCATTTGTTGTGTTCTCTTTAACAAAGACCTTGGATCTGGGTGTTTTCTACTAAAATTACCATTGTAAATTATGCTCAGGTTTCCAACACGGTAAATCAATCCCTGCATGAAGCGGGACTCATGCAAGACAAAAGCCTGTCTCCGGGCTAAAGTTTCATCCTGTTACATGACATGATATTTAAATACGTAAGACTCAACTGTCATGGAAATGCTAAGCCCTGTTCAGTTAGGCTTTTGCTGTCAGATTTGAGGGTTCACAGAACGTGCATGGGTTCTCGTTCTCAGCTTAAAGCGACGCGCTTGGATCAAGACATGCCACCAATGCCTTTCCTCTCCTGAACAACAACATTCTAGGTCCCTCTATTCAACTATCCTTCAAATCGAAAATGGCCCCTTCTTGGCTTGAAAAGTTCATTGTTCGTGAGGACGCAACTCCCGATCCCCGACGCAGCGCGGAAAAGCCCGCGCTCGAAATGCACTACACCGCTCTTGTCGGACACCGCCGAATCTTGGGTGTCAAGGGTGACAAAACACCTCGCTACGAAGTCGAACGGAAAGCTGTCCTTGAGATTTGGGGCGATAAATGCTACGTCAAGTCTCCGAGCCAGAACGCAGAGATCGCTATGATCGACTTTCACAGCATCCCTCCCAAGACGGAGGTCAAGTTCTCGCAGCAGAGTCGCACCATTACGATTAAGGGTGCTGATGGAAAGTTCACTACGAGTGGTGGCTTGGGCGAGCTGCATTGGAAGCCAACAGGGATGGTTGTACACGGCAGAGCTTCTTGGGAGCTTAGGGATGAGAGGGATCTTGTGATGTCAGTCACCATTGATGATCAGCAAGTCAATGGAATGATTTGTCTCTGGAAGAATGGACTCGCTCCAGAATTGGAAGAGGAGATGATCATGGTTGGAATCTCCAAGATTGAGGAGTATCGGAGGCTGCTCAGGAACTCCAAGGTAGCATCAGTGGGTGCCGTCTCGACCGCGGCTTGGCTGGCAGTCTAGATTAGACACGTCTGAGGATGAAGACGGATAACAGAGGAGCGAGGGACTTTAGTTTGCGTTGCGCGGGGCTGTGATAGGACTCCCTTCTGTGGTCTTCCTATCAATATCTCTTAGTGACATGCTGAAAATCTACTACCACGATTGAAGTCACCTAGGACCTTTTCCGACAATAGATCATATCATAAGTATTATTAGATCGACAATCAGAATCTATTAAAACACCATTTACCTCGCTTAACCATTTGATGCGACGGTAATTTGGAGTAGTGGTCGTGAGAGCGTGGCTCTAATGATTTCGCTGCGCTTTTCGACGGAGGCGCGTCACTATTAATAGTTGACCGCAGAAATGTAACAACAACACGGGCCCCGAATTGACTCGCAGCGCTTTTTCACGGAGAGGTGTGAATCTGAGAACCATGGAATCATTCATTGCACACGAAAAACTCCCCGTATCTCACCGTCGGAGGACGGGATCTGGGAGCTATTCATAGGTTTTGGTGGCATCCCGGAATAGATTGATGGAGCATTGCTTGTGAAGAAGGCGAGAATAGCAACTGAGGTAGTTTTGAAGGCGACCCTGATTGAAGCATAAATAGCTGAGGGACTGCTCGGTTTGATGAGAGACTCATCATCACAAAGAGTCAACAATCAAAGCATCTCATCAAGAACAAGAACCAACTCCATCATACCAGCATCCCAACACCATCAAAATGCATCTCTCATCTCTCATCACCATCATCACTCTCAGCCTCGGCGCCAGCGCCATGGCCATTGAAGAAGACGCCACCCTCGAAGCCCGCACCGATCACTGCAACCCGGGCATTGATCTGATCAAGCTCAAGATCAAGCCCGGCAAGTCATTCACTGGCGTCGGCAAACCCGGAAAGTGCTACAATCTTCCCGCCAACATCAAGAACTTTGACGTCTACTCTGACGACACCAAGTCTCTTGTCAGCTGCTTCGACTGCAAGGTGTACACGGAGGCCAATTGTAAGGGGAGCTTTGTCAGTCTTGAGGGAGCGGACAACTTTGCGTTCAAGACTACCAAGAAGCCTCACTACAAGAGCTGGAAGTGCGGTCCACCTTGAGGGCCATAAAGTGGTTGGCGAGAGATAGCTTTATGGCGAAGGGGTTTGAAGGGATGAGGATGCTATTACCAGTACGTTCATTAGTTCAGCACCTCGGAGTTAGTTATGCGATATGATGATTCTGGGAGCGTAAGCAGATTCAGGCGAAAGATGGAGGATTTATTGTGATTTAAACACTCTCTTACAGTAAAGGTATACGTCTGATTAACTACCTCACTCTTTCACATTTAGTTATGAATATATTATTCCCATTTCTCATTCATGTGCTGGAAGCTGACGTAGCTTACTCTTGGGGTCTCGTTGACGAACTTCATATTAGCAGGCCAAAGACCTCTGTGTGGCCTCCTATCATTGGCATCCGAAGGCCCAGAGGGATATCAGGAGGGACTCACTAACGTTTCAAAGCAACTCCACCCACAAAACTTTGCCACTACAGCCATTACTAAGATGATACGAATTCCTCTCATTCCGACGTGTCCCCTATTTCTTTGCAGTCCTCCTCCTTTCTACTTTTTTTCCTTCCTGGCCCGGATGCCTTCCTTCAGACTTGCACTGGTCACATACTTCCTTACCATCCCACGCCCGGTGACAACCACCCGTACACTTCCCTCGCTTTTTCCTGCTTGACATGTTAGTTAAGCTGAATTTGATTCAGGGTTGAAGGTTTGTCTCTGATCACCTTCCGCTTGAGCGACAAGACTCGACGCATGGTAGACATCTATGTGCTGGAGGTTCAACTTCTCTTGTGCAATTACCTGAATTGCATTTTGTCCGCCGCTGCCTACTTCCAGTGTTCTGGAAATTTGAACCCTCCGGCTGCGACGGTCCAGGATCAGATGCGTGGGCGTTAGGGTTGGGGTCTACTGTTTCCGTGCCGAGATCCTCCTCGGTTGTGCCACCCGAACGGAGGTTTGCAGGGCCACTTCCAGTGTTCTGGGCGTTTGAACTCTCTGGCTGTGACGATTCAAGATCAGGTTGATTCTCGACAGGCTCCTCGACGGGGACATTGGGATCGTGGTTTGTCGAGGTCTCCGTGACTTTGCTTTTCTTTAAACTGCCGTTTTGTCTGTTATCCTCACCATCGGAGTAGAATTGTGACGTGTCAATAAAGTCATTGATGTCGAATTTCCTTTTGGTCATAGTCGAGATGAGTGTTGTATACTGCTGAATGCTGTTGATGGTTTGTAGTGTTAAGATGAGTGATGATGATGTCTTGCTGGGAGTTTGTTGGAGAGAAGAAATCTCGACGTTCTGCATTTTCCTTCCTGTTTCTGTCTGCTCTGATTCTTGGGAACTCTGGGGAGGCGCAAGTCAGGCGCGCCAAGGAAGCAGCAGTTGTCGTGCCTGCCTGGAAACTCAACATAGCCCTCGTCTGAGTAGGTGCATCCGATTCAGTCACAGCCTAGGTATGGATATGTGCTTATAACATGCGAATGAACCCAACATCGCAACCATGAGAACACATGCAAAAGGACCAAAAAGAAGACGCTTTGAAGCGTCAATTGAATGCGTAATCAGGGAATCGAACCCTGGGCTCCCCGACGCTGCTCGAATGGCAACGGAGAATTTTACCACTAAACCAATTACGCGGTGTCTTTGATGTTTCGATGCGTCGCAAAGACTCCACAGGTTTCTCCATCGTGGTGCTGCGTGAGAGTGGAGAGCAGTTATACGAGAGAGCCCGTATTACTGGTGCATAAGTGAGATGAGCCTCAGGTGAGTTACGGTTGAAGGATTCTAAACTTCAACTAGTCATTCTAGCGGAGGAAAGAAAACACAGGACCTCAATCCTAAATGACAAAAATATTTAGGGTAATATATAGCCTAAGTTTAGGATGACTTTTGCCAAGTTTATTTTGACATCCCAGAGTAAGGTTCGCTGTTTTCTTGCCCCCCGGGGCTATCCAAACCTTGAGCAAAGACTTCAAGTCACTTGGGGACCATCAGGAGAGGAAATGAGGAACTTCGTTGATCAGTATCAATAAATGGGTAGGTATCTGTTATTATAATTCATCAATGAGTACCATTGGCTAAGTATTTGTTCACAACCTCATCCACAACCTTCTGACAGATCCCTCTATGAACCTCATCCGCAGTCCGCGCAACAAACGGCATAAGAAGGCTATTCGCCTCAATGATAACCTCCTCATACAACTCCCATTCCTCCACCAGCGTCCCCGGACTGCTGGTACCGGGGCTACTTCCAAACTCCTGCCTCGGCCTCACAATCCACTCCGTTCTCACAGTAACACCAGCCTTGGCATCAGCTCTACAGCGAATACCATTCGGTATACTCAGACACGTCACGGGCCAGCTCCTATCCCTCGTCAGGCCGGGCGCCAGCATGAGTCTCTCGCTGGACGAAAAGGTCCTCACGCTGCTATTCGGCGTGCCAAAGAATGGGTCTTTGGTGACGAGCTCCATGTTGGGCGTCGTCTCTTTGAAGCTCATAATGACATCGTTGTTGGCCAGCATGGGCGTGTATGTCTGGATGTGAGCGAGGACGATTTCCGGCGGCACGCGGCTCGGGATAGGGACAGTGATGAATATCTGATGCTTAGACCGCATGGCCTACAGCAGTACAGCCCGGGACAGGTCTGACTGCCGTTATCTAATGGGCATCGAAAGTGTTAGTCATAGCTTGGTAATATGAGTGAGTAGGTAGGTACATGAAACGCCATATCTTTTGAGTGAATGTACATCAGACATGGTATTATGTGTTGGCCCCGGCCTCACCTTTTTGTGTTTCTGGAACGTGAACTTACGTTGATTCGTCGTAGGATGCTCCGTCTTCCCCGCAAGTTGAGGCAATTTCGGCCGCCCGTGAGTAGTCAGCACTAACAACCTTGTTGAAGATGGCGCACTAGGCATGCGACGATTGAAAATAGGATGCGGCTGGTGTGATAGTGCGACTGGTTCTTCTAGAAGGGGTTTATGGGTGACTTGAAGCCCTGTATCGTGCACATCCGAGGACTCCGATGGACAGGACTTGATCAAAGTTTTGCTGTCATCTTTTTTTTTTCTCCATGTCTTAATCTGACAGTGAGGCGGGTCTGTTTCATTGGTCAGGAGGTGAGCCACTACTGAAGGGGTGAGCGCTGTGATAGGCTATTGGGTCTGAATAGAGTTCTCAGTAATTTCGTACCCTGGACTCTATGTTTCTCCTTTTATGCTACGAATAAAGAAACGACAGGTGTTGAAGATATTGACTATCTAATGTATACTGTATACAATGGGTTGGGGTAGAAATAAAAAGGTAACAATTTGGTAGAAGAAACTCCATGTGACTGTGCGGATATAAGCTATCAGCCACAAACCTAACACGCAAGACATCCGGCTGACGGCTTATCATCAATGCCAGTTTTTTGGCCACCGCCACTGCTGAGCCAAATATCTCCGGAAGGCAGTTTATTAATGGTTGTCCTCCAAAAGAGTCTCAAAAGCCTTGCGAGACATAGTCCAAGTCGGACCATTGGGCATACCTCCAGGGCTTCGAGGAAAAACAGACGCGTCGACAACGCGCAGATTATCGACGCCACGCACCCGAAATCTCGAATCAAGACAAGAGTTCTCATCATCATCAGCTCCAATGGCGCAGGTTGATGAGGCGTGATGGCTGAAAGCCAAGTCTTGAATACTCTGTCTCAGGTTCTCGGGATCGGGACTAAGCTGCGTATACGGAACACCAGTCGCGTCAAATGCCCTTCTGAGCAACTCAATTCCTTCAACAATAGCATCGAGATCACGCTCAGCTGACTCAGCGAAGTAGTCGAAGTTGATGTTAGGCCGAATGCGAGGATCGGATGAGTTGAGTCGAACTGTGCCGGCGCTGTTGCTCGTCTGCATCTTCACAACAGCGTGCATCCACTCTGCGGGATCGTTGCCTGCTCTCTCGCCGGTTGAGTAACCGGGGTAGAAGCCTACCAATCCCGAAAGACCTGGACTGCTGAGGAACATGAGATCCGAGTCGTTGTCCCAGCTTTGGCTGCTTCGCCAGACGGCGCCGTAGCTGCTGTCGCGTGCTGCGTATGGTCCCGACGCGTCGTCTCGCCAGAGTACGAAGCACGGGTCTTCGTCATCGAAGGTACCGGTGCATGGAGACTCTCTGGGGATAAGCCAGTTCTCTTCACCACGGATTTGAACAGGGACTTCGTAATTGTCGTGCAGGTTAGAGCCCTAATGGGGTAGTCAGCATGGAGCAGTTCAAGATTAGCTGGGGCACTTACAACAGCTGGTAGGTCGACGACAACAGGAATATTCCAAGCTTCCAATTCCTCGCGCGGGCCAATACCACTCAGCATAAGGATCTGCGGAGTGTTGAAAGCGCCACCAGAAACAATGACCTCGTGTTTAGCGTAGACCTCCCGAATCTCACCAGTCTGCTCAGGATCGTACCGCCCATCAGCAGAGTACAAACCCTCACCAACCATATACTCCACACCATAAGCGCGGGGCTTCTTATTGCGGCCCTGTTTGGTGAGAACTCGTGTGGCCAGAGAGTGGAAGCTGACAGTCAAAGGGTGTCCGGCATCGATGACCTGGTTGATAAAAATCCCAGCACCACTTCTGGCAGCTGTGCTGGGATCGATTGCGACGGGTGTGCTGTACATGCGGCCGTTTTCGTAGCGACGCGGGTCGATATCGTTGAGGTCGCGGAGAAGAAGCTCGGTCATCTCGGCGGGATCTTCGGTATCGATGCCTTCAGTCTCACGAAACATTTGTGAGAAGAAGTTGGCGACATTAGGAGATCCAATGTTGACCGTTGCGTTACTCTGATCGTTCTACAAATAACGTCTTAGTATAATCCGCCACGAAGAAAAGGGCTGGTTCGTACCACCAGGTAACCCTCAAAACCATGACCAGGAGTACCTTCAGGGACGTAGGTACAGTTCTCGAGATTCATCAGATGTCGACGCATGTGCTCATGGCCCCAGGAGGCATCGCCCGTCATATTGGCAATATAGTCCCACTCATTATCAGGACACCAGGCAAAGTTCATGGCGTTGACTTGCGCACTTCCGCCGAGAGTTGAGCCGCGAGGATAGTACAAGCCAGCACTGTGATCTCGGTATTAGCATAAAATCGACGAGGAGGTTTACCAGAACTTACGGCCTAGCACCCTCAGGCGGATCAAGGCCGACGTAGTAGGAACCATTGGTCTGGATATAAGTATACTTGGGATCACGACGAGCCGCATCAAAGTCCTCGTAGTGATTGACAAAGAACTGCCAAGAGTGGTCGGGAGTCTCGGCAGCAGTTCGAGCTCTGGCAAATGTTAGTAACAGCAAGGGCTTGTGAGAATTGGAACTCACAGAGCTGGAAGCTGCTCGAGGATGCTGGTGTGATTGTCTCCTCCCGCTTCGATAAGGAAGACGGAGTGTCCCTCTCTAGCTAGATTGGCGCTGTTACCCGTCAGCACGCGAGTTTTGTGTCAAGTTCGTGCTTTGACTCACGCCAGAGAACCTCCTCCTGGTCCAGAGCCGATGATGACATAGTCGTAGACATCGGGTTTGGTCGCAAGGGCAGTGGAGCTGCCTGTCAAGACAGCCGTAAGAGCGTATTTAAGACGATTGAGAATCATGGTGTGGATATCGATAAACGAACTTAGTGTCTCGAATGTTTTGCTGGATCGATTCCATTTTCAAGTCGACGGCTCGACTCTTTATATGCGGCTCAAAAGCGGCTTAGGCCAACTCTCAATATCCTTCATCGCTATCGCCAAAGATGTTTTCATCTTGGCGATTCTCACAATGAGCTTCACAGCCTCGTAGCCGCGTCAGTTTCCTTGAGGTAACCGCGTAATTTCGATGGGGATTACTTGTGGAATGTCAGCCGTGGAGCTCCGCGGGCATGTCCGGTATGATTGTAGTCAGCAATGCTGACATGCCAAGTCTGTGAGACTTAGCAAGCTCACCAAGCCTAGCTCTCGTTGTGAACCACTCACAGATCGCCAAAAGCGAGCAGCTTCATCCCAAAGTAAACGGAAGTCAGTCATAAAGTCCTTTCATGCTGCGGGAATCGGGGATGAGGCGCCAAATGATAGACTATTTACAGAATATGCTGATAAATCAAAATTTCTACTCTTGGTATATCAGAAATCTAATAAATGGAGCCTTGCAACTTGTAATTCGCACTGCCCTCAAAAACAATCAGTTACCCTCGCCCCAGCTAACACCATAGTAGCCAATTTTATGGAAGCGACTTACTCTTTAGATAATCTAACCCTGAACTGGTAAGTATTTTCTTAATTTAGGCTACCTTACCTAATTTTAAAGACCTTAAGTTATGATACCAGCGTCAGTGGTATGGGCAGGACAGACCGCAGCATGAGTGCCTCTGGCAATGGGTGCCAACTTAAGGTAGTACCTAACAACGATAACAGGGAAGGATGCTCATCGACCAGGCTCCTGCCCACTTGCCCATAGGGAATGTTGCACACTCGGTCTTGCATTGTCCCTTCCCCGAATAGGTAGGCAAACCAACAGGAAAGTGTTCAGGCGCTCAAAATCGTAAACAAACTCAACTTCTTCATCACTTCAAATTGATTGATTCTAATTTACATTCTTTAATCATTCTTCCGTCTGATTCTCATGGCCTTCCTCGCCATGCCACAGACAGACATGTATTCTTCGTTATTGAATACGAGATCACCCGTTGTTGTGTTACACTTATTACCACCACAACTTCGAGTACTAGCTCTTCTACTACCCCAGCGGTTATTCAACCCTATTCTCCAGTGGACGCCTAGCCCACCATCGTTTAATCGACGGCCTTCAGGTCCATTTCTGGACGGTCTTGCGGTGGAGCTAAAAGAGCAAATCGCTCGTTTATTAGACCCGATCGGGTTGATCTCGCTACGTCAAACGAACCGCCACTTCCTGAAAATCATCAAACCTCAGAGACAACAGTTCATTGAGCGTCTGCTGGCTCTTGAGTGCCTTCCGGGACATGGAGGCTCCCTTCTGCCCTTCACTGACTGCCACGGAAGACCCCTCTGGAGTGACCCCGGCGTCTTGAAGACACAGACGCGGCCGCGGTGGGCCTGTACCGGTTGCAAGAGGCTTCTCCCTTATTACCATTTTCAATACAAATTCTTGGCCGAGGTGATTTGGCAAAAGCCCCCGACTGGGTTCCCTGCAACCAGGACCATTACTTCTTGGGAGCCTGGGCTTGGACGCATCGCGAGGGTGGTAACACCGCTAACGCCACTCCCAGCCGACGGCGGCAGAAGCATACAAGATCGCTATAACCTCATTGTTGGGGATATTCTAGCCATAAGTCCTAACGAGCTATTCAATCAGATCCGAAACCACAACCTGGATCACTTTGAGGGAATGCAATATGGCGACTTTTTACAACGAATCACGTATATCCCGAGCAACATACGTAACCTATTTTTGTGGAATTTGGTGTCAATGCGGAGCAGCTTCGGCAGTAGCCGACACCATCGAAAGTGCAATGCATGCCAATACAAAAACCACGTTTTCAATAACGCGACCATTGCCAGCCATAATGGCATGTTTGGGACTGAAAGATTTCCCATCATTTCGATTGAAAACCACATGATCGCATCCCCCCTCGATCGATATTTCCCTGGCGTATTGGATACCATGCAACAAGGGCGTCCATCCAAGCGTTTTTATCAAGGCTTCCCAGAGCCTTGGACTTTGTGGATGGCTCGGTGTCCTCGATGTACGAAATGGCAGGAGTTGAGAGCGTTTCGATTCGGTGCGGGTGCCGGGTATTGGTTTCAGGCATGGGAACCTCTCATGGGGCAGCTAACTTGGGACGGACTAATACTTACGCAAGAGATCTTTGACAAGGCTTGCTGCAACGCATGCTTCATGGAACAGAATGGGCGGCCAGCACTGGCCGAGTACCTTTGTCGGTGGTTCGTGTTCTTGTTGGAACAGCAGCCCCAAGAGGTTCAATCTGAGCTTCGTTCTGAAGCGGGTAGATTCACGACAAAGTACGGCGAAAAAGCTCATCCGACAGCGGTCCACGATTTGAAGCAGAAAATCTTCCAGATTGATTGTCTTCGATCCCAGGGCGAGTCTCCATGGCATTTGTCTCCCCGTCTTCAACTCCTCCTCAAAGACTTGTTCAGACTGTTTGGGCTAGCCGGCGATAAATTCCTCTCTGACAAGCAAAGCTTATAGCAAACACTGCAGCAGCATGAGGAGTACCTCGAGTGGTTGGTGGGCTGCAAGGGGGAAGTTGAGCGAAATCCTGACTTTTTGGCGAAGTGGGCTCTCGAAAGAGGCGGAGAGCCCTTGTAACTAATAAGCGTTATATTGGTTTTCTCATGCAGCGATCTATTCTGCCCTTACCACTGATGCCAGTATTATAAGTCTAGGTCTTTACAACTAGGTAAGGTAGCCTAAACTTAGAAAATTTTTATTAAGTTCAGAGGCAAGTTATCTAAAAATTGTGATATCGCACGGCGAAAATCGGCTCCACGACGAGCCAGATTGAAGGGTCTGGTTGCAAACTCGAGCTTCAACCAACACACAATGGGGCGCTGGCGCAACGGTAGCGCGTCAGATTCCAGCTACTTAGCACGGAGATTCCTGAAGGTTATCGGTTCAAATCCGGTGTGCCTCATTCTTTTTTCTCTTTTTTTTCTCGTATTCCATTTTTTTAGTGTTGAGGTTGTGTGGATCTTCCTGTTGAGGTATGGTGCCGTATGTGGAGATCTACATGGGCATGGCACTTTGATGAGACCGCTCATGAATACATAGACAAGCTATTATTAGAATGGATATATATGGCTTCATTTTTGTCGCATTATTCGTCGTGGATACTCAAGCCAGATATGCCACTCCGGTGCAAGATAGGCCGTGATAAGTCCAAGCAGGTATACCCCTGTATCTCCAACCTGCCAGAGACTTCTTCCGTGGTGCAATAATAAGGCGTAATAACCCAGCAAGATCAGACCTTCTGGCCGTCTGGTAGCTAACAAGCTTGTCAAGTCGGGTGACGCTAGCATCGTCCATTGGAATATCATGCGATATCGACCGCCATCGTCTTCTTTGAACATGGCATCGAAGCCGAGTTGGAGGTATTGTATTGCCTCACGGCACACTTCTTTTTCGTCATTTGACAAAGCAATCGAGTCGTTGACGAGCTGGAGTATGGGTTCACAGTGTTTTCCTGTAGGGTCTTTGGAGGATTGTTGACTACTCCACGATAGAACTGGTTCAAGCTCCGTGTTGAGAAGTAAAGGCCATGCGGAGAGTGTTAAACGATACAAACCCCAGTTCATCTCAACACACTGTACGTAGTGAGTAAGAAACCCATCAAGACCATCTGAAGTTCGGGTAGCCAAGGCATCAGCAAGGAGGTGATGGCCTAGAGTAACCGAGAACAAGAGAATAGGGAGACAATTCGACGAATCGACCTCTCGCTTTGTCGAGTTGAACAACGAAACGGCTCGTGTTTGCAACTCAACAGCTTGGTGCAGATATTTCTCGGAGCGCTCGGGATGAATAGCCGCTAGATGGCGTGCAGAGAATGCCAGCACTTGATGCAAGAGATACGGTGCCCTGACGCTCTCTTTAAGACAGATATCAAGGGTCTCTTGAGAATGCTCAATTCTATCACCGAGACTAAACAAGTCTTTGTTTGTTATCCCATGGATAAAGAGTTCCATGTGCTCCATGTTGACAACGCTATCGAACGATTGTTTATGGCTGTCGGAAAGGGATGTTGCGCTTGTTGGTCTGAGGTTAGCGTCAAGGCTGAGGAGTGATCCTTCGCGAGATGACAATTCCGGGGTCGAGGAGTTTGTGTCTTGGGGTGGTTGCGGGTCGGAGGCGAAGCTGCAGTCTCGATTTGACATTGTGCAGAGGAGACATGACGGGCGGCCTTCATCGCACTGAACACGCGTGTTAGTCATGGGAACTTGAATGCGGGAGATTAAGCTTAAGCGCTCATGCATTGAGAATGGGGAGATACCTTTACGTGACGTCGCTTGCTGATCAGACGGTATCAGTTCATGTTCCATAATTGGAAGCTTAAGATGTTCTCAACTTACCATTGTGCACATCCCCTCTTGGACTTTTTATGACTTCGTCGAAGCATGCTGAGTTGCACCTAAAATAATCTTGAGGAAATGTGAGAGACAGCAACTCGGAACAGTAATAGCCCAGAAATTTAGAGTCAGAAGTGAGATTAATGAGCTGAAACAAGAATTCATCATCAAGGATTCGCAAGCAGTAAGCGAGCGACGTGATCGACAGATAATCCTGGAAAGCCCAAAGCCTAAATAGAACAGGCTAGCCTTAACTTGGTAAGATGGAGTTGTTGATCCTTGCAAGTTGCTTAGCTAACACGCGTGTTCGGGCTTAAACGACCCGATCTTATATCCAGCTTTAGGGTAATTTTGATGATTGGGCATTTTTGATACGCAATAGCCTGTACGCAACACGCGTGTCAGCGGAGGATTTCTCAAGCAGAATTAGGGGCTGAAATCTAGTGGACTATGGAGAGAATATATATTCATGTCGCCATAATGCTCTTGGACAATTACGTCTCTCCCTCAGTCCTTGTCAAGGAACAAGTACAATAAGCCCACCTTTAAACGGACACGGCCAACTTCCTGCTATTTCTTCGTCGCTATTCTATCATTATAACACTCACGAAACTTTGGTGGAATTTTCTCCAAAATGCCCGAGCTAAAGAAATATCTCGGTAAAGTTTACCTCTGGCAATATGTCCCCAGCCTCGTCGGATCAGTAATCTTCACGCTTCTCTTCACCCTCGCAACCGTAGCGGTCGGATACAAGATGCACAAGTCAAAAACACGCTTCTGTCTCCCTTTCTTCCTTGGTGGCGTCTGTATGTCTCCCCATCTCTCGACCCTCTCTACAACTCTAACCTATCTGTAGGCGAAGTATTGGGCTACTTCTTCCGAGCCCTATGCTACAATGCCACCGACTCGCTCCCTCTCAACATCATACAAGCTCTCTTTCTCCTCCTCCCACCCGTCTTCTTCGCAGCGACATTATACATGGTCTATTCTCGTCTGGTCAGAGCTATAAGTGGAGAAAGTTGTTCACTCATCTCCGTTCGCTGGACGACTCGTCTTTTTGTCCTTGGAGATGTTCTTACGTTCAATATCCAGGGGAATGGCGGTGGGTTGCTCGCAAATGAGGATCTTGTCCACATCGGAAACATCATCGTTATTACTGGCCTCATCGCGCAGATCTTACTATTCCTCGCTTTTGTAGCCTGCTGCGTTGTGTTTCATCGACGGTTCAGGGTCCATGTGAGGCATACTAGCATGCCAGTTTCGATCCGTTGGGAGGCGTACCTGAATATGCTTTACTTCACATCAGCTCTCATTCTAGTCCGAAACATCTTTCGAGTAGTCGAGTTCGCTATGGATAAGCAGGGATATTTGCAGCAGAAGGAATGGCCAACTTTTGTGTTTGACTCGGTTTTGATGCTGCTGGTTATGGTTGCGTTTTATTTGAGATATCCTGACAATCTTCAGCCGCATTCCCGAGACTCTGCGATTGAGCTTGTGCCGAAGGATGAGCCTCAGTCTGGAGGAGCTGGTGGTTCGAATCAGATGGAGCACAGATAGGGACTAAGCTCTTTGTGGTGGACTCAACTGCAGATAATGCATCTAACTCACAATTTAGATATGCTTTGGTTTTCCCTTGTTGCACATCATCATCATTTGTCTCTGCCATTTATCGGCGTCGTTTTTGTGGTAAGCGCTCTTAGATCCTGGCTGGTAAACAGCCACCCAATAGAAGCCCCCCAATTCAGCCATTTACCAGGATGGGATGCGCAAGGCTGACTGCAAGTCTCAACTCAGAGCAGCTGAAATGTGATCCCCGCATAAACTTGACATTTCCAACTTCTTCAAATGGACCCTCTATCTATTATCAGCGGCTGCGCTGGCCTCATCACGGCGATCAGCAGCTTGAGTGTATCGATCAATACTTTTGTGCGCAGCTGTCGAGAGGCTCGCAGCGACCTAGACAGGGTGTCGCGTGAGCTTCATTCTCTCCAGACAGTCCTTGAACTCATCGAAGAAGATGCCAAAGATGACACGAAGCCCTTCCCACCAACCATCCAACATCATGTGTCGGGAATCGTCACAAACTGTGGCTCCGTGGTTCTTGAGGTTGAAACGTGTATAAAGAAGTATGGGGATGGGCGCATCAAGAGTAAAGCTGCTTGGGCGATCAATGGTCAAGGCGACATGGAGAAGCTGAGGTCCAGCTTGGAAGCTCACAAATCAGCCTTGGAGCTTGCCCTCGACATGCTGTCTCTATCACTCACGAAAGACATCAAAACTGATACCTCGGAAATCCGTAACGATACAGCTGCTATCAAAGACGACACAGCTTTGATCCTACAGGAGATTGCGGAGCTTCAAGCTCGATTACCTGATACAGCTGCTGCTCAGAATGATTATATTCTTCAGCGATTTCTTGAGGATATGGCGACTTATACTGAGACGACTCTCGATGCAAATCTGTCTTATAGTGATGGTATGAGCTCTAGAGCCTTGTCTATTGTAGATGAGCACGATGAAACCTCTCCGAAACCTCCACAAAATGATCTACCAATCTTGGCGCCCCAGCGCTCTAGCGCCTTGGAGGCCAACGCGTTGTCGAATCGAGTAGACGCCCCCAAAAACGTTGCCAAACACCTTGCACCTCACGATCATAGCCTTGCTCAGCATCCGATACCAACAATGGAAGACATCCCCCATCGCCCAAAGGGACCCTGTCCTGCACCTTCGTTCAGCAGTGATCCTCAAGAACTACGTTCGAGCGCCCTAGCATTGGATTCTAGATATAAGAAAACGCATAATCAAATCGCACCTTCGCCGGGGAGAATCCAAAACGAATATCTAGTTTCTGAATTTGCACTGCTAGACGCTTTTGATCCTCTATGGCGTGAGCACTATGGCAGCTATCTCCAGGGCAGAGGACTATCAAATGACGCGATCAGAGAGAATCAGGATTATGTCATCGATATTTTGAACCAAGTCAAGGAGCTTGAGACGCCGTCCTGGCCACGAGAAAATTATACGATGACAGGAGTGAACGATATCCGGGCGGAGAGTGACCGAGGTCACTCGCTACCACGTGGCTCCCTGCAAACAAATCCCCTCATCTGGACTACTCCTCCATTGTCTCAACAATTGATGCCGTATATGGCACCGACGAGCGAACCTATTCCGAGAGAAGAAGATGAGGCTGTCACATCACAGTCCAGGACAGAAGATTTCTCCAGTCAAGAAGGATCCCATATTGTAAGGTTTAGAGGCAACGTGGTCGTCGATATACCAGTGCCCAAAAAGATCCTGGACCATATTCCTCACTCTTCCTCCCTAGGCCGAAACAAGTTCACGCATTCAAGGTTCAGCTTCATTACTTGCCCCCCGGAGGAGTTTGGAGATCATAATTATACATTGAGAGCGACACTGTTTGCTCAGCCGCGACAGACGCAATTTATTCTAGTTGTGCAATTAAACCCCAACGATAAAGACTTTATGCGGCGCTGGGCCCTAATTCACGATTCCATCACATTTGCCCAGAAGAAACTGGAAGCTGTTGGAGGTGCACAAGAATTCTGGAAGCGAGTCGTTGTTCATTTACACCTGGTTCATGGAATGGAATGGGGACACAGTGGCTTTGATCATCCATTAGAGGCCATTGCAGGGAATCTGACACTCAGCGGCAAACTCACACCAATAGGCTCTGAGCATCAAGAGCCGGTGGACATGGACTCATCAGCAATTGAAGGACACCCGGTTTATGCCACTATGTCAGAGGTATGATTTATCCCACAGCTAAGGAGACTCGAAACCCTGCGCTCACCTTCAATACAGTATAGTGTGCACCTGCGCCAGCTATATTATCCACCCGAGGTAGTAGTACGCGCGGAAGTCCCAGTCCAAGTTGTAATTACAACAGCTCGTGTTCCAGAAAGCTCATTGAATCTTCACTGGTCCGACAAATACATCCCATGGACATGCGCCATCAACAAAGTCCTCCAAGCTGAACATGTCATAAATATGAGCGAAGTCTCTGACGCCTTTTCCTCTCAAAATGACTTTCTGTGGGAGATTTTAAGAGAAGACAGGCCTTTACCTGTGCTCAAGTATAAACCGCTTCCGGCTTGGGATTTGGAAATTTTCAGGTTTGACAGCCTAGTTGCGGAAATTCAGGCAGACTTAATGGTAGAAAAAGTAACCAAGAAAAGGAGCTCTAGAATGAGTAAGTGGTTGAAGTCACGGAGGAGCTAGTAACTATAAAGACAGAATTTAGGGGGGCTACTAATATAAATACATAAATTTTGGTGTTCTTCGACGTTCATTCGTGTGAAAATACCTTGGGAGATTGAGTTCTGTGCCGTTGTTATAGGTTCTTAGCAACAGCTACTCAATCACAAACAGTTTAGAACTAAAGCAAGAAACAAGGTGTAACCAATACATAAATACCCGAAATACAGAAGAATATCGCCACTCATCCCTCCGCTAAGAAGATAACTCTTTATACCTCGATCGATTTAAACTTGAGTTTCTTGGAAGGATCAGGAATAGACTGTGACCTCAATCAGTACGCATGGCACTACTCATACTCATCCATCAACTTACCATATGAGCAAATTCCATGTTAGGGTATCGTTCAATAGCATCGCCCACGTTCCTGACATCATACTGTAGCAATGCATGTGCCAGAATCATCTTGATCTCGTTTGCGGCGAAGAATCTTCCGGGGCATGCATGTCGACCGTACCCAAAAGTCAAACTGCTCTGGTTCACACTGACAAACTGATTGTTCGCCGCCTTCTCAACTGACCCGCCATCTTTGGCTTCAGTACGAAGTCTGTAGAACCTCAATGGGTCGAATTTGTCGGCGTGAGGGAAGACGTTGCTGTCGGAGCTGACTGCGACAGCAGGGATCTCTATCGTTACGCCTTCTGGGATAACCTGGCCGTTGGGTAGAGTAAATGGTTTGAGGACCTTGCGCTGGAAGGAAGCTATAAGATATTTGTTAGCAAGTTTATCTTGAGGCTATTAGGCTGTGACTTACCCATTGTTGCAGGATGGACTCGAAGTGTCTCCTTGAGAAAGCTATCCATCTTCTTCATCGATTGAAGGGCGTTGCTCGTGAGCTGGCCACCGCTCTGCGATAATGCCTCTCGCACCTCATCTCGAAGTTCTATCTGCAAGTCTGGTAAAGCTGCCAAGTCGTAGAATCTGATTCTGTGTAAGAGGCACAGTAAACGGGTATAGGGAAGCGGGATCACTCACGCATTTGTGGCTGTTAGCGTCGTAGTGTGAACAGCTGCAAAGGTTAGACCCAGTTGAACCTTGGCGAGATTCTGGCTATTCTTGTCAGGAAACTTGTCCTTTCCATCGATGAGCCACTGTAGGAAATCATCTGGCTTCTCATATGATGGATCGTTCATTGCCTCGGTTCTGCTTTTGACCACGGGCTCGAGGAAAGCCTCGGCTTCTGCGATTCGCTGATACAACTTCTTTACCTCGGAAAGGCTTTGGGCACGGAAGGGTCGTAGCCAGGGGCGCATGTTCTGTACGGCACGTTGGGCACCCATGACTTCCATAGTGTAATTGATGGCTGCATCGAGATATTGTTCCGAGCGGCAGAGTTCAGGACCGATGAACATGCGGCCTGATACCATGCCGATGATACGAAGGAGGGCGTGATGAATGTTGACTTCTGTCCAGTCATCGCATGGTGGCATGGTGAGATTCATTGAATCTCTGACTTCGTTTGAGATTGTTAAACTAAGTCGAGCTGGACAATGTCAGAGAGGCTCTACAGAAGCCTTGAAAATATCTGGCTGCCAAATATCTGGATGAAACTTACACAAAGATGGAGTCAATTCTCCTTTGATGGTGTGCGGAATGATGGGTACCGATGTCTCAATCTTGGTGTATTTGGTCTCCATCGACTATCGGCATGGTCAGATAAGGTGGCTAGGTTCTGTCATGGGGTCTACGAACCTCGTCAACGGCGGCCTCCATGCTTAGAGTAGCATCAGGCAACTTCTTGAGCTCAGGGAGAAAGTCAGGTGAGATGACGATGGTAGGAGAGGCTGAATATATTAGCTTGGTGGGACTTGTGATACTCAGCAACAGATACATACTTCGCGATGTAGTTATCAGAAAAACGCCATCTTTGAACTGAAATTCTGTGAGCTTTGCCTTTATCTCAAACGAATGGTGTCCTTACCTTTTGGTATCCCGCTGAGTATAGTTTCCTGGCTCCTCCCAGGTACGCCTGTCTGCGCTTCTCCGTGTTACCGAGCTCCTCACCAACGGTAGGTATGGTCCATAGTCGAATTGAGTTGACGACTCTTGGAGCGATAGCGGCCAAAAAACAGGCAAATAGTGCAGTAACGAGTAGTGGCCATCGGTTGGCTACAAGGTCGAGAAAGGAATGCGCGTTGCCCATCGTGAAGGATTATGATTTGAGGTAGGTAAGAAAGATGGTTGTGGATATGATTGCTTATGACTTGGGTATTAGATGTTGGTAGATATGGATATTTCTGAGCCAGCCCACATACCTTGAGTTGTTAGGCGTGAGTATATATACTGACAATCATGGCAGCAAATCGCAAGACCACGCGGCCAAGATCCGAAAATAAAATCGGTTTCGGGAAGTTGTTTAATACCGACGAGCCCCTGCGTCATGATCGACACAACTACCGCGTAATAAGAACAACCCGATTCGCTTTTCAATTCTACTGTAACACAAGAGAAGGTGTGATAGCCACAAGCTCTACTGAAAGGAGTAAGCGGTCTCATGACACAGCTGCGTGTACGCGTACAGCTGTCTGGGCTTAGAACATGCCCTATCTTGCATTGCCTCGAAGCATAGAGATGTTAGCGGCCTCATCACGGCATTAAATCTGAGTGCCTAGCTTAAATTAGTTTGTTTCATATGCCCTTTGCGCCTATTGCGTGGAGGTTCTATACTTAGTCGTGATATACATTTAAGCTCGTGGGGCATGATCAACACCGAGACCGAAACCGAGAGCGACAAGAATGCAACCACAATCTCGCTCACAAGCACGAATACAAAAAGCCAAGAGCTGCCGATCCCTCAGGAGTGTGACTCGTTATCGTCATTTCAGCCATGGATCAGAGAGCGCCCAACTTAGGCATAAGCTACAGCTACGATACTGCCATTGACCGATGAGTGAAGGCGACGGTTCTAGTGCCATAATTCTCAGTTCATATTTGCAATTATCTATGGCCATTCTATCAACTGCTGTGAATCACCTGTTTCCAGTTTAGGAAGCCAACTCTGCCAATACGCAGCTAAAAGCTCCGAGATGCCCTCTACCAAACGTTTTCCAATGTCACCCAGACACCAAAAAGCACGAAACCGGTGCAGCAAAACGGCATAATGAGCTAGAATGACCAGAGCCTCGGGAATTTGCTTCTCCAAAAGCATCAGAAATCGCCACGGGATCAGGTTCGACCACGCCATCAAGCCGTGTACCCCCAGGCTGTTGGGCCCTTGAATGCGAAGCATCACAAACCCCAGAGCCTCAGTCGCCTCCTCACAGGCTTTTCTCGATTCTTCGTTGAGTTCAGATGTTTCGAGCATTGAAGCCAGTGTTGCACAATCAGCGGAAGCGACATGTGAGTCATCGAAATCTTCTTTCCATGCATCCATCATCCATTGAGATACCTTGGAGTTCACAAAGCTTGTGCTCGCTCTCTCACCCATAACTCTAGCTCCGCGATGAAGTCTGAAATAATTCACCGTGCAGTCGAGAGTCGTAGCAAAGTCTTGGTCAGCGAGACCTGCCACGGTCTCTGCGAGGTAATGCAGTGCTAAGAGGGAGGCGAAAAAGAATTGAGCTGTTGAGTTTGATTCGGAGGTATCGTCGAGACATTTATTGAAACCGCGGAGAGCTCGATGGCGGAGGTGTGTCGCGGTGTTCGTATAAGACTCGGCCGCGTGTTTGTCGATAGTCCTGAGGTGCATCGCAGATAAAGCGAGAAGCTGATTCATTAGATAGGGTGTTTTTAATGCCGTGGGTATGTAGCCGTTGGCAAGTGGCTGAAGCCGGTCCGTCACCATCATCCAGTCTGCCATGTGTTCTTGAACATGGTAGAGCAGACTCAAATGGCCAAAAGTAAAGAGTTCATCGGACTCAATCTCATGTAAGTCCAGTGGTGAGGGAGCTGGAAGGTCTTCAAATACACTGGCTGCTGGGAAAGCAGATGGCGTCGTAAGTTCTGTTTCGTATGGAGAAGAGCCAGTCTTGTTTTTCCGCGGCGGTGCGTAATGACATGTCCTCTCAGAAATGGAGCAGTTACCGCATTCTGGTCGCTAGCGCGAGAACTTTTAGCAAACTGTTGGAATATTCTTGCTAGGACGGAAGAACATCTACCTTTTCATCACACTTGATGTGACGCTTCTTGCAAGTAGCGCATCCATTACGGGACTTGCGATGACCTTGACGGACTTTCTTAGGGTTAGGTTGCATTTTGATTATTGGATGACCGACACAAGAGTCGAACCCGTGGAAATTTGTCGATAAAGGAAAAAGAGCGAGGTGATAATGCGAGTATAGAAAGGAACTCACAAGGAGGGAGAGTAACAAGTATACGAGAATGCAAAAGGGATCATGCATGGGGCAGATTTGAATCCACACTCTATTCCTAATTGGGGTTATTTCCGCGTATTCCATCGCGAGTCAGGTCGTCTAATCCCCTTCTAGTTAGAAATACGAGCAGAGAGCGACTACGAGTATAAATGCTTTTTTCTTCAGTTAGCGGGCCAGTTGCTTGAATGTTTCACATCTGTGGCCCCAATCTCTGTGCTACGACCAGTAAGTATAGTATAGTAGCTGTAGAGCGATCGCTCTTGAAATTAGTTAGTGAGCACACATCCTATATTTTGCCGAGGTGATCTACGGATGTCTTACAAAATCATGTTTGGCTGCATTTGTTGAGGTTATCGTCTGTGCCATAGACATGTTATTGCGTGTCAGATGTCCCTGCGCTTATGGCGAGCCCTGACTCTCCTTCATGATTGCATAGTATCAACAACTCTGCGTAAGTCTATCACGATACAAACTTTTCAGGAGAGCCAACAGAGCGTGTAAGCTAGAGCAGGCCAGTCAGATATCAATCCCCACTCCCCAGCTCTTGAAGCGCAAAAGGTGATTGGCCGCACCAACTGCCAATCACGCTATTTACGCTGAACACGCCTAATACGCCGTACATGACGCTAAAACAAAGTTGCATATTGCAAGAGGCTATCTGCGTGCGTTGATCAAGTGGGAATGATGAGATCAAATATATTATTGAGAGCAAGAAGGAGGATATATAAGGGGAAGATTGGTAATTGAATCTTCACTTCGACATTCCGAAACTACACTACGATTTCTTACCATTGTTTGCTCTTCAACCATGTCTTCTACTACCTTCAAACGATATTGGCTACCAGAGAAGAAAGGGTTCGACTCCCTGCAATTGAGGTCTGTTCCAAAGGAGTCACCCCAGCTTGGCCAGATCTTGGTCCGCATTAAAGCTGTCTCTTTGAACTGGCGAGACGGTATCGTAGCCATCGGCACTTATCCGTTTCCCGGCCCCGATGCCCTAGTTCCCGGAAGCGATGGTGCTGGTAAGTATTATACTGGCAGGAAACCCCGCGATACCAGCTAACGAGTCTCGAAAGGCATCGTCGAAGCGGTTGGAAAAAGCGTGACTGAGTGGAAAGTGGGCGATCGTGTGGTGGCCAACTTCACACAAGAACACATCGCTGGTCGTCTCACCCGAGATGTTGGCCTGACTCAGCTGGGCGGTGAAACGCAGGGCCTTCTGGGAGAGTACTTCATCTTTCCGAAGACGGGCGTGGTCAAAATTCCTGACTACTTATCCTTCGAAGAGGCTTCTTGTCTTCCGTGTGCCGCTCTGACGGCTTGGAACGCCCTATATGGACTGACTCCTCTCCGCCCTGGCCAGACGGTTCTTCTGCAAGGTACTGGAGGCGTCTCCACCTTTGCGCTTCAGATCGCACACGCCGCTGGAGCCAAGACGATTGTGACTTCGTCATCGGATGATAAACTGGCCAAGGCAAAAGATCTTGGTGCGACGTATGGGATAAACTATAACAAGACTCCCGACTGGGCTGCAGAAGCCATGAAAATCACAAATGGCAAGGGCGTCGATCACATCATCGAAATAGGAGGAACCTTGACGCTTCAAGCATCTTTCGATGCGATTGGATTCAATGGCCAGATTAATTGCATTGGACACATCACTAATCCGGATCCACTGGGGGCTGGTAAGGACCTTCGAGGTCCTGATGCAGCTTTCCTCGCGTTGGACCGTCTCTGTGTTGTTCGGGGTGTCGTGGTTGGATCACGAGAGCAGCTGCAGGATATGCTGGACTGTTTTGAAGCGAATGAGATTCGACCGGTAATTGACCGCGTGTTTTCTTTTGAGAATGCTCGGGAGGCGTATGATCACCTTTGGAGCTCCACGCATACAGGAAAAGTTGTTATCCGGATTCCATAGATGTTTGGTGTAGTAGCTCTCTGTTGACAGATAAATTATTAAATTGAGCTATTGCTTACTTGAGTGGGAGTGAGTTTTGTAATTGTCTGTGTAGTGCCCGAAATGCCAATTGTTCTCTGTTGATGCAGATGGATGAAGGCCTCACGGCGATGACTAACCAAGCAAGGCGAGGAAGCTGTCCCTCCACGGGTGCACATTCTTCCGACCCTCGCCGCCACATTTCCCCCATGGCGTCAGTCAGTCATCTCAAACTTGACGTATACCAATGATGGAGGTAGATAAGCCAAAGAAGAGAAAAGGGTCAAAGCATGACAAGACAGGCTGCTTGACCTGTCGTTATAGGTAATTAACAGCTCAGACAAATACCCTTCGAGTTGTTCTCACCACGTACGCAGACGGAAGAAATGCACTGAGAATACATATCCCAATTGTGGAACGTGCATTCGATTGAACCTGGAATGCGTTCGAGATCCCATTCGTCGCATCGTCCCACGTCCTGGCCACGAAAATAAGCAACCGCAGTTGGCTCAGCATCAACCGACTCTGACTACACAACTGGCTCCGTTACCGCTGAACCTAAACTCCCCCAAGAGACGCCAGGCAATGAATCACTACATCAGAGTCCTCTCAGAACTCTTGACTATAAGTAAGAGCAATAACTCATTCTTATCCGGTGCGTTTCGTCTGGTCCTATCCTGATCACTCTTGAACTAAAATCTCAAGACTTTCTCCCTATGGCTATGGAGTCACCAGCACTCGCTGAAGCCCTGATTGCATACTCGTCTGGCCACATGTCGCATTCGGACCCAAGCTATACCACAGTATCACTCGCAGCACGGTCCAGAGCCTTGTGTGAACTGTCAATGACGATCAGCCGGCCAGATCAAACTGCTTCAGTCATTGAAACCGCATTATCCGCTTGTCTCATTCTCTTGACTTCTGAAGTGTGTTTGGGAAGTCACCAGAGTTGGTACAACCACCTCATCGGCGCCAAACATCTCATTGCGTGTGCTCAAAGCCAGGCTGATGGGTCGCTTGTGGAGGGAGCTCAGGCACTGAGGTTGACATCAGAGGGGCGATGGATTCTGCGCAACTTTGCGTACCACGACATCATTGGTAGTGTAACACTGGGAACAAAACCTCTGCTCTGTCCCGAGTATCTCAAGGGTATCACGCATGAGTTCGACACGTATTTGGGTGTTGCTTCACAGATTCTTGTCTATATAGGCCAAATAACCTGTTTGGATCTCAGCACGACCGATGTTGAGATAGGCGTTCACCCGTCAAGGAACTTTCTCAGCGTCCAGCACGAGATCGGAAGCTGGACCTGTCCTGCTGGCACTTCACGAATCTTTCAGTCTGTAGCCTATGCATACCGCGGCGCTGCGCTTATCTATCTCTACCGAAAAATGCGCCGTCATCTTGAAGCAGATCCTGGCTCTTTTCTCGCCTGTGGGACGTCATTGAACACCGTTAATGATAAACTTCAGATGGCCGTGGAGAATACTTTGGATAGCATTGGCCAAGTACCCGAAAACGACGTTTCCGAGTCCTCGCTGCTGTTTCCTCTGTTTATTGTTGGAGGTGAAGTTGAACGTACTGATCAAATGGAATTTGTTCGAGCAAGGTTACAAGTGTCATATAACAAGCGAAAGTTTCGTAATATTTCGCGAGCATTAGAAGTCCTGGAGGAGCTGTGGGTTTATCGCCAGATTCAGGATGTCTTGGGCGGAAACCGACCTGATTGGGAGGATATTTTGAAGTCTAGCTCAGAGCCACTACTTCTGACATGAGGGAGACCCAGCCAAGCTTTCAATAGGATCGAAGGCATCGGATGGTCGCCCATGACTTGGTGGGTCAGTATTCAAATGATGGTGTGCCACTTGGTCAACTATGAAGCCGCCGAGTCGTAGAACTGTCAAGGTCTGTGCCTAGGCGAAACAATCGACGTTGAGCGAGTGACAAAGAACGATATGCACCTTCCACTAAAGTGGTCATTATTTAGTTACTTAATAGATAGATACTGAGGTCAAAAAAGCGGAAGCAGGGCAGGTTGGGAGCGACATCAGATCAGGCATCGTGTGAATTGTAATCGTCCACGCCCTTTTCCACATAATATATAGGGCAGTGCCTCTGAAGCAGACTGGGCGCTTGAAGTGAGATGTTCTGCAAGAAAATGGTGGCTTGCTTCCCAAATCGCAGTGAGTTCCAGGTCACGCCGCACTCTGGGCGCCGTTCCCTCAGCCTAACTGTTAACCTCGCCCTTGCCCTATACGCACCCAGCACCATCACGACAGTTAGGGACTAAAAAAGAGTTAAATCTTGAACTAGTAAATAACGCAACTAGGGAAACTTACAACACTTGGATCGGCAAATCTGCGGCAAAGGGTTGTTGACTCCGCAAGCCCACTCACAGGCCGTAACGCACGTGTCCCGGGCCTTGTAATCGCATTTGCATTTGTTGCGGAATGACCAGATATGGTCATTGAGGAAAGAAGGGACAGTGCTTGCATCATGAACATTCTCCCATTTGTCTCCCTTGCAATCACGTTCCCTAGGAATATATGAGTAAATGAATGCGTGATTCTGAGTTTATAAAAGATCGTCTTACCGATAGAAGGTAGTGCATCCATAACCTTTCACAGAGCTTGCTCGGTCACCTTTTCCATTCATATTCCCTGTTATCGTATTAGTTATAAGGTAATTTTATACAAGGAGAGGCCTGGCAATATACAGCAGGCATCGTCGTCATTTCGTGTCTCCCTATGCGAGGCACCCCCGAAGTAGGAATTGTCATACAAGGTGAAGTCTCGAGCTAATGCCAAGGAGGCAAAAAGGGCAGCAGTAACTGTAATAATCTGCATTATGAAATAGATAGGGATAAGAGTGAGTAGGAGTGACTATAAAGGTAGATGTTGAGAATCGTATAAGGAAAATGAGCGCTTTATATATCCTCAAGGAACATATTGAACTCTATACCCTGCCTTGCAAATCACCTATATAGTAGGCATGCATGATTTCAGTCTTGGCGGCTAGTAGCTTGATATGCCACTATAGTATCATAGGTGGATATAACACTCTGCCGATTACCTATTTCTGATTGCTTGCTGTGCCGCTGCAGACGCGCGAGTAGATGCAATTGCTCGGTGATTACCTATTTCTCTCCGTGGTATGAGAAAATAAAACGATCTTTATGGCCAATTGCATTGCTGTGCCGCTGCGGACACATAAGTGGATGCAATCGTTCGGCGATTACCTATTTCTCTTTGTGGCACGAGAAAGTATAATGATCTTTATGACCAATTGCATTGCTGTGCCGCTATGGATGCGCAAGTAAATGCAATTGTCTGGCGAATACCTGTTACTCTATATAATATAAGAAGATAAAATGATCTGAATGACCAATTGCATTGCTCTCCATGCTACTGAGTAGATTAGATTGAAAGGTGACTGTTTGTCTTCCTTTAGCTATACTATATAACTAAAAAACAAGCTTTTCTAAGTCCTGCCTAAAATACTGTTCAGGCAAATACAGTACTAGATATAATATATATAAGCAGTCTAATTTAAGTTAAGGTTTAGGCTTGTTAGTAGGGTGGTAGGGTGCATTTTAAGTAAGAGAGGGAAAATATAGCTAGTGCTAATAGCTTTGCGGCTTTAGAAGGAAGTTGGCGCATTTTCGAGATGCTATTGGACAGTTTCGATGAGGTATTATATAAATTAACTACTCTGCGTGGAGCTAAAGCGCGGGGAAGCGGTTTGGAACATGGCAGAACGGGGAAAGAGGAGACATAAGATGAGGTACATACCTCATGGACCACATCTAAGGTCTAATTTAAGCAAATGCCAAGCTTAGCGTAGTTACAAAGTCCAGTCTGGTGCTCAAAGTCTTCGCATATTGTTTAGCATATTGTCCGTAAAGTTCGATCACTTGCAGGTGGTATGCATCGTATTCTAAGGTATTCTTGACTACGCAGATCTGTGACGTCCGTTCTCCTCCAGCATCACCATGGTTGCCCAAAATGGAATCTAGCCGCGGAGAACGTCTTTCAGACGTTATAGTTGGCTTTGGGGGCTCAAGGCCAAGCCTGCATCCAGTCAGCAAATATTGCAAGGGACTGTGCGGCTGGAAGACCAGAGCTTTGCGATAGGCGGAGAATATTGGGGGCTTTTTGGTGACGCTTTGTTTGCTGAGTCGACCAGCAAAATTGCAAGTAGGCTTTGTTTGACTTTATGCCTCGCCGCTCGCGTAATTTCGTGGAGATTGTAAAGGTCGGCGTGCTGGGGCAATGTTTCCTGTGTTACCCAACTTGTCCACATATGCCACCTGTTTCAAGTTGTCAACACACATTTTAATTGGCCGAGCAGTATCTAATGCACCCCAGACTTATTTATGCATACCCCGTGGTTGAAAATATGACCTGATGCACGACTGGTTTATCCAAACATTTAAAGTAATCAGCAGAGAGATTGATCAAAAGGGAACTGGTGGAGAGGTCGCGGTGGCTTCTTCAAGCCAACACCCTAGAGAGGACCATGTGTTGTGCCGGCTGGAGAAACGAAGCTGCCTTTTGCGTCTCAAGGAACCCCTACGCCAGGGATGTCGACATGGTGCCCTCACTCCACAACTACGACTCAGCTGCTGGCAGACTGAAAAGACCAAAATGCTTGGTGACGGCGATGACAGGGAGTGTAAGAATAGGTTTATTGGTATTGAGTAGTTGTATATACTTTTCTACCATGAGATAGAATTAACTTCGATATAAACTGCTGATTCCGCCCTAGCGGCGACATGTTTGTCCCTGTAATCTACCGAACAATAAGCACCAGCCTCACCAGTCTGTCACCTGTGTATGAGACGAGGTCATTATCTCCGCAAAACCGCCCCACATGTAAACCATCCCCCGCTTCCCCCATGTTATCCAGTCTCGTACACTTCAATTCAATTTCAAGCTCACTTCAGCGCACATAGCTACCATATCTCATAGGATTCATCATCAGGCTTCAGTATCTGAAATGGCAGCGAAAACCCCTCACGTCCCCCATATTCATCTCCTCTGCATGGAAGAACAATTCAGCGATGCCTTCAATGTCGCCCGCAAGAGCCGCAAACTGCCCGACTCTGTCTCAATCGAGATACACAACTGCGCTCTATCCCAGCTCTCGAGCAAAGTCAAATTCGACACCGTCGTCTCACCCGCTAATTCCTACGGTCGTCTTGACGGTGCTTTTGATGACGCTATTTCTCGACAGTTCTCGCCGCGCGATGACTACCATGCTCTCACTGGCGTTGCTCAAGCTCAACTGTATAAGACGTGGCGTGGCTTCGCGCCGCCTGGAACATGTACTTTGGTAGAAATTCCAAAAGAGTTTGAAGCAAGATCGCGGAATGTCTATGGAACACGTCGTGTTGCGCTTTGTCCTACGATGCGGATGCCTGCTGACGTGAGATGGGATAAAGAGGTTGTGTACGAGTGTATCTGGAGTTTACTTTGTGCGATCGATAACCACAATCGCGTGGCGTCTGAAGATGATCAGATCCAGAGTGTTCTTATGACGCCATTGGCAACAGGTGTTGGAAGGGTCAGCCCGGAGAAGTGGGCTTTGCAGACTGTTCTGGCGATGAAGCATTTTGTCGAGGCTTCTGAGAATCTGGAGAAATGGAGTTCTTTGCAGTGGGCTGATCTCGGCAGAACCTGTGCCGAGACACAACTTACGTGGACGAAATAGGCTCTGGACACTATGGAGTATCTTACTTGGAGACCGGCTCTTCAGCAGACTCATCTATCAATTGACCATATCATCCATATGGCATAATTATTTTGCTTTATCTGTTAGCCGGCCTTTCTTTGAGTAATGAGTCAATTCAAGACTGATAGTACAATTTGATTATTACATACTCCCTACTCTTGAGACTCCTCGCCCGACGAGTCATACCAACATCTCCATATCCTATTCAATGCAAGCTTATCACATGGGGTGACATCTAAACCTTCACCCAGTCGGTTAACCTTGCACTCGTCGGTACCATCAGCTTGGCAGTTTTTCTGACAAGAGAAATCCGAACAACAGTGCATAAGCAGTTTTCGACCTGGGTGCGGATGCTCAAAAGCCCTATGCTGAGTGATGCACTGAAAATTGTCTGCAGATGTCCAACTTTCTTCAGCAGGGCCAGTTGGCTGTTGGTCGTAACGATCGTCTAGTTCGTCGAGACCAACTGCCCCGAGACAATTGATAATTTCGTCAAGATCCTCATTTCCAACGTCCCATGAGTTGTAGTGATCTTGTAAACATCCTTGGAAAGATAGCTTCAACAGAGGCTTGAGTAATTCTGAGACCTGGAGTCCTACGACCTGAGCAGAAGGCTCTCGGCCCTCTATATAGTCTTTCACGCGTCCTTGAAGGGTCGAGGTGAAGTACATGAGTTCGCTATTGCGTCCGCCTGCGTGATGGACGTTAGTATTTGCTGTTAATGTGGCAGGATGATCTTACCATTATTGATGGCCTTTGTAGTGGCTCTAAAGAGCCGCGCGAGCATTGAAAGCACCACTCTCCATGATTCATAACTCTCCTCACGAGGCTTTTGTCTACAGAGGTGTAAAGAATACGCAACTGAATTTCGAAATCCCGTTGTAAAGTTGGAACAACAGAGATAGATGTCATTGGTGCGGACATCGTGCAATTGCTGACAGAAGCTACTTAGCCTTGTTTGGGATTTATCCCGAATGAAGTCAAGATATCGGCGACCGTTGGATGATACCGGCAGTATGAGCCCCCAGGACGAAGAGAGACGGAAACAGGGGCTATGCCATGTTCTTCCTTGTTGATCCGATACGTGACATCCCTCCATGATGGGAAACTTGCAGCCATCACAATAGTATGCAATGTCTCGACAGAAGTGTAGCATGCAGTAGATCCCACCGTCTTGTTGATGCCAGTCACTCTTCTTCGTGAAAATTATTTCGCATTTATCACAGGTAAAGTGGTGCTTGTGGTATTGACGATCAAAGGCTCCTATAAAGTCACCTATGATAGTCTCCTGGCACTTGAAGCAGTGTATATCCCTTCGCCGAAGAAAATCTTGCTCGCACAGTGGTTTTGGTTGAATGCCATTTTCTTCTTGTGATAGGAAACAGTCACTTTGAAGAGTGACTCCGCAGTCCTATACCGTTCACGTTAGCTGAGACAGTCCAATTGTTGTTGTTGTTGTTGTACTTACAGAGCATGTAAAACATTTCGCATGCCACTTTTGGCCTAACGCTGTCACTTGACGACCTGTAACTCTCTTGGAACAAGCGGAGCAAGTAGATGAAAGTTCAGACGGCAGGGAGATGTCCCATGTACCTTGCCAGGAGATCTTGCGGTTTAACCTGCTAACGGAATTCTTTCCTCGGAGCTGAGATCTCCCTGTATCTGTGGTGTATGAGCTCGCCCACTCTCGTGATTTTCTGATTGACGAAACGTCGTCTTTCTGGGAATCGACTGAACCCTCTTTCTTCGTTTTGGTAATCTCCGTATCAGAGTCCACATTGCCCACATGAAGCTGCTGAATTTCAGAACGAGCCTTGATAAAGACCCGTCTGTATGCCTGGCTGTTGATCACAACATCATCGAATGTAAAGTCAAGTTCAGAAGGTGCAATACCAGAAACGGTCTCGACGTCAAAGTAGCTGAGCTTAGCAGCATCATTATCGAAAACAGATTCTATGTCCATTTTGACACTAGGATTGCAAGATCGCAGGGACTGTGCTTGCGAGGCAGCTGCTTTTATCCTTGGCGCATTTGTACGTATATCCTTTTGGATGTTGGACAAGGTCTCACTAGTCCTATCAGTATGGAAATAATAATGAAAAGAGATTTATACTTACAGTTCAAGAAGATTTAAGAGAAAGTTTATGGATGACTGTTGCCCTCTCAACGCACCCAACAGCTCTCTTAGGCGGTCTTGGTTCCATATGAATTTAATCTTAGCCCAGAGTCCCGGGTTTTCAGACCGAAGGCTTCGCGTTTCAGCCTCCAGACAGCTGAAGACAATCATGCATCCAGTGAGGGCCGCCTCAAAAACCATCCAAATTTCTGTTTTTGATGCCCAAGCTTGTGCGAGGTCGTCTCTTTGAAGGATCTTCGTTTGAAGTTCTGAAAGGCCGATGCTAATGATCGTTGACTCCGAACATATCATTGCGATGATAGCTGGGACATCCTGGAACTCTCCAGCGAGATCATGAAGCTTTTTGCAGGTCGCGAGGCATGTCGCAGTCAATCCCACCTAAAGAAATGTTAGCTTCCCGCGACTGCGAATACTGACAGTGCTGTTTTTTACCACTGAGCTCGCGATGGACAGTGGATCCATCGCAAAAGGTCCAGCTAGGCTCTGATCATCAAGTCTACAGAACTCATATAGTGAACAAGACGATACAGTCGTCGAAATGAGGGGTTACGTGTTTTTGTTGAAACGAGGCTCCCAGTGAGAGCCTAGAGAGTTGAGCTGATGGTGTGCACAGCCTCAACAGACAGCCCCAAATTCCCAAAGAGGCTGCCAAGGCTGACTTGGAATACCATAGTTGACATACAGATCAAATGGGAATTCCCTGTTTGCTGAAAACCAATGATAGATAAAAATAGAGCTGTTGTGCCTGACGATACTTATGTTAACGTAACTAGATCCCTCAATGGTCGTTGCTATCAACGATGACCTGAGTAATGACAACTTTCATCTCCATTCCAGGATATGCCGCAACGCGGAACTCAATCACCCGATCATCGTCATCACTATCCTTTCCTCGATAACGGTCTGATGAAGTTATGCTATTCCCTTGTCTAGTAGCAATCTCCAAGCCTTTTTTTGCAGAATTTGATTCAATGACACCAGCCCTAAACCCTCCCGTGACCGGTGCATCAAGTCCCTAGCAAACAATGAGTTCTAGTTAGGCTTTTCTTTGCAGGCCTACGTACTATGGCGAAATGAAATCGTTGAGTTTCGTCCAAATGTGCCCAGAAAGACAGGCCGCTAGATGCCCTTACATGATCGCTATACGCAGTGAACGTCATTTGTGCATAAGGGTTCACCGGGTTAGGCGCCACCAAGTACTTTCCAGCCTCGAAATAGCTATCATCGAGACGTATGTCGAACTGGGTAGCGTTTTGGACGGTACATTGATACCAACGATGTTTGTCTCTGATCTCATCTGATGGGACAGGCGTCATAGCATTCAGAGTCTATAGACAGTGAGTAAACTCCCATGGATGTAAGTTGACTGCTGCATACATCTTTCACCTTCGCAGCCAACTTCATCGGAGGATCAAGAACTGTGTTGATATCGATGGTAACCATTCTGGGCGTTGAAGAGTTGAGGTGAAGTATGTTAACTACGTGTGGGGAAAATCGAGAACCAGAGGAACAAATATCCTCACACATGGTGTTATGGACCTCTGTTTATACCTCGTGGGCTTCTGAAGTCTTTGCATCTAGATCTTTGATCTATATAAACTATTGAACTTTAAGTTCTTAGGCGCCATGAAAGAACGCGGGGTCAAGGAATGACGATTATCACTTATCCCAAGAGCTTTCCTTCTGAAATGGTAAATATAAAATTGAGTATTTCAAAATGGACGGCTATTACATTCCTTATCATACGCTGGGGTTCGGTGCATTCTATCTCAGTCATAGTATCTTTCGGGAGTTTTAATAAACTCGTGAGATATCTGATTTGGCTGAAGCGCACTGAAAGTGAACCAGACTAGTGGCGGGCTATCATTTGACTATCAGCCGCAGACGTATACTGTCGAATGGGAGTTCGCTAGTTGGCTATCATTCGACAGTGGTTAGTCGGCTATCGAACGGTAGCTCCCGGCAAAAAGGCCTAGCCCGATGATCCGCCTTCGTCTTCTAGACGTGTTTGCAGGTCACTACCACAGCAAACTTGAGTAAACAAGCAACATACTAAACCTAAAAAATGTCCCTTTATGCATAAAACGACTCTCTTTTGGGCTGGAGGTAGACTGCTCGGAATTAACTGATACTTGGCAACCAAAAGGATTAGAGCCAAGGGTTCAAAGCGGGGGCTCAACAAGGTCGATAATTAGCTAGCTCGCATTTGAATGCCCTTGATTGGGTATCCAAGCACACGGCCCTTATGATGTTCCTACTTTGTGATGTAGTGGTACTTGTTGAAATGCAAGACTCCTTGCGCCTCGGGTCGTTGAGATTCCTAAGTCCGGAGGCTTCACACATATTTAAACCCGGGTATAGTCACTGATCTTCCAAAATACGATGCCTATATCAGCTTACACAAAGACGAACGTAGCATTATCAAAGACCCCATTTCCTACCAGAATGTCTACCACTACGACATACCCCTTCGACCCGACTACAGATATCCCTTCCCTTGCCGGGAAAGTGATCTTTATCACTGGCGCAAACACCGGCCTTGGAAAAGCGACTGCCATTGAATTGGCCAAGCATTCTCCTGCTCATGTCTACATCACCTCTCGCCACCCCGCCAAGGGGAATGCTGCACTAGAGGAAGTCAGGAAGACAGCTAGTGAAAGCACTAAGGTCTCTCTGCTAGAGCTCGATATCTCCAGTTTCGAAAGCATCAAGTCTGCGGCTGCCGAGTTCCTCAAGCGTGAGGACAGACTCGACGTCCTCTTGCTGAATGCTGGAGTAATGGGCGTTCCACCAGTCCTAACTAAGGATGGATACGAGATGCACATGGGAATCAACCATCTCGGCCATGCTTTGCTTCTCAAACTTCTCAAGCCAGTCCTTGATACGACGCCCGATGCTCGTGCTGTGCATCTCAGCTCTGCTGGATTCCGTCACGTCGGACCGGCGGGCATCGAGTTTGAAACCCTCAAGTCCGCTAAGAGCGAAACGGCTTTACCCTTCCGATACGCTCAGAGCAAGCTTGCGTGTCTTCTGTACGCCAGAGAAGCAGCCAAGCGATATCCCGAATTCAAGAACATCGCCATCAACCCAGGCGAAGTTCAGACAGAACTTTTTACTCGTGAGCCAGGAGATGACTTGATGAAACACCTACAAGAGAACGTGGCTTCTAAAGTCGCGATTCCCATTTCAGAGGGTGTCAAGAATCATCTTTGGGCTACTACTGCTCCGGATATTGAGAATGGAGAATTTTATGAACCTGTTGGAAAGACTGGTGGCTTAGAGGGACATGGCTTGGATGATGAGATGGCGAAGAAGCTTTGGGATTGGACAGAAGAGCAGTTGAAGAGTCAGGTCTTGTAATTTGATTTTGCTTTATTCCTATAACCCGAATTGTTCATGGAACTAGGGCACTTCGCATCGTCGAGGTTCTTGACGGACAGCAGCAATTTTGGTCTCGGAGACTCCTTATGTGTAACATATCATAACATACCGAGGCTAGTGTAATGCATCGGACTTCTTGCTCTCTTATTGTCCCTTTCTGCCCATGTCGGTCAACCAAACTACAAAACCCCGCAATATTCCTCACATCTGCGTTCGCTTCAACGCGTACTAAGCCGCGATGGTAGTTACGCCCCCGCCTTTCTTGGTAACGACAAAACGGAGTACAAGGCCCAGTAATACAGACCCCAGCTCTTTCCGTTTATTTTCAAGAATAGCTCTAAGCAGTTCTGGAGGAAGAAGCTTACAACAAAAGTAAAAAAGGACAAAAGCCGAAAAATTGGTCCCAAACGAAAGGAATGCTTCAGGGGATGAAATGGCGCCAATCCATCTCTGAAGCCTCCTCCACCGAGCGGAGAAGAAATAAACACCCAAATGCAGTGCGACACTCCCACCGAGTGTGATTCTTCTGAAATTCTTCTCAGCATGATCTATCATCGAGCCCAGCGGTTCGAAAGCCCTGCTGATCAAGGAATCAACGACAAATGCGAACATCCACGGTGAAAGGGCAAGTGACCGAAGTACGGCACAAACACTGTTCTTAGCATGGTAGAATAGTCGTTCTAGGGTGTTAGTCCACTCATCATGAAGACGAATCAAGTCAGGCTCATAGATATCCATAAGGGAGCGCTCTTTGTCTACTAGAACACCTTCTTCCGTAAGATAGAAAAGTAATTGTGGATTTCCAAAGTCGTACTGACGGATCGATCCGATATCGTAGCTTTGTTGACTTGGGAGTAGATTAACCGGAGTAAATGACCATGTTCTCCAGTACCGATGACTCAGAAATAGCAACGGCTTTTTGCTTCGTACATACAGGCCATTGCCGTTTCTACGACTCTCCAAGGGGATTGCAATCCTTGTGGTTGGATCTTGTCTCATTCTGCATTGCAGAAGACCATATCTCCCTTTCCTGAAGCTGTCGCTCGAAACTGGCATTTCGATGTGTAGGCCCTTGTTTGTCATCTGAAATGGCGGGGTAGGCATGCCCACATTACAAGGGATAAAGTCTCTACATTTCGAAAATGCAGCCGGAGACGTAGCAAGCACTCCTGACTCTTCCGGGGCATCTTCTGGGAGGTGCCAGGCCAATAATGTCTGATCATCTGAGCGTTTCATAATCTCCTCTTGCAATCTCAGGAAAGCATTTGTGCCCTCACCGTATAGTAGAGGCATATTGATTCCGAATATACCCAGCAGGCAGTATGCTGTGTCTTCGATTCGGGTTGTCTTGCGTTTCGAAGCCCAGCTCATCTTTTCAGCAATGCTTGCTGTTTGGAGTCTAGATTGTAAAGGGCTGTCTGTGAATGTCCGCAGGCGGAATAAAAAGGTCTCGTCTACACCGGTGATTTGCGTGATAAGGTTGGATATGTCGTCTCTTTCGTATATGGCTGACCAATCGTTATAGAGAAATATAAGCCTCGACGGGGCTATGAGTTCCTGAAGGGTCCAGCCTCGTTCAAACCAACGACTCTTTGCAAATGACGATTCTGGCTCGTGAATGTTGGTGCCTGGCGGAACATCTGCTAAATATGTATAACATATTTCCGATCGCTCGTACCAGCTCATCATTGAGTTGATAGCCTCTGACAGCTCAGCGCTGCTCGTCTTGTCGATACAGCATGTATCGACCCAGGCATGCCCATATCCATTCGCAAGAGCCAGGGCGCAAGCTTTTTTGATTTTTTCATATCCAGATAGCTCTGTCCCTTTGTTATTCTGCATATCTTTGAGGGTAACTTCTTGTCCTTCGACCCATGTATGGGAAAGGATCACATATTTTGGGACATTGTGATCCATGAACTCCACCACCTCGAGGGTGTTCGCATCTAGCAGCCTCATTGAGAAATCCTAGGCAATAGGTGACGAGAAGAGGGGTGTAATAAAAGGCGATGTCAGAAATTTAGAGATAAAACAACAGACAAAGTAATATGGCTTAAGACAAGAAGGATTTGTAAAACAGAAATTGACAATTTAAATGTGTAGCCGCACTCATTTATCACCCATGCATTCAGCTGGTGACGTGGTTCGAGGAGATTGGGTCGCTGGCCGTGCTTGGCGCTGCAGAACACGCTGATCACAACAAAAAAAAACAGAAAATGTCAAAGGCTCTAATTAAATCAGGAGTTTAAGTAATGGCAAGTCTTGGTCTCAAATCATAGAAGCCATGAACAGCTATTATCTGATGAAGTCAGAAATGCCCAAGCCTAGATCAACAGGTAAGAAGTATATATAAGTCATACGAAACAAAATTCATGTACAAATTGGATTTAATACCTTTTTAAGTTCAGTGTTAAAATCTGTTATTTATGCTGGATTTATATTTTGTTTTGTCTTTTACCCACCTTTCAGACGTCCTATGGAGACCTTGAGAAGTTTAATTGCTTGCTCAGCATGGTTTTAAACTCCAAAAAACCCCAAGCCTAAATGATAAAGCATTCGGCAATGAAGCTTCTATAGTCTATGTCCCTAGTTACCAAGGAATTTATAGAAGAACGAACAGTCATGCAAGTGTCCATCCGCACTCTCAGCATACTGCGGACAAACACCCCATTCCGTATATCCGAGCTTCAAGTAAAATCCCCTCGCCGGGGTATCCGAAGCTGTATCCAACAACACCATCTTCTTGCCCAGTTCCTCCTTTGCGAATCTCTCTGACATCTCCATCAGCTTCCTTCCCAGTCCATGACCTCTTTCTGCTGCGGAAACCAATAGTTTGCCGACTTCGACTTTGTGTGAATGAGTTTCCTTGGGGTGAGTCACGAGCGAAATTGTTCCCACTGCGGTGGTGCCGCGGGCGAGCACGAATAGGGTAGCTCTGGGGTTGGGGCCGAATAGTTGAGGTGATTGAGAAGACCAGAATTCCATGGCCTTGGTGGCGGAGAGAGGTGCGTGGAAGCCGATTGAGGATGCAGATGGATCATCGTTGACGCAAGATAGAAGGAGTTGGGTGAGAGAGGGTTTCCATTGTTCTAGCTTCTCGGGACTAGTAATTTGATGTAGCGTGAAGCCCGCTGGGAATTCGACAGCAGTTGAAGAGCCCATTGTGTTACTCGGTAAATCAGGAATGGTTCAAATTTGCTATGTGAGGTGTAACTGTCCTACCATACCGCTATATATAAGGCTAGTATAGTTGTCCGCATGAGTCATTGTAGATAGTGACCGAGCTAAATTATGTTACAAAATCACTTTATCTCTTATTCCCTTTACAGAATGCGAGGTCTCGGCTATCTTCGGAGACACGCGCCGAACTAGACATCCCGTAACTCAATGGCTCCCTACTATTCTGAGGTTTATCGTGGATAAACTTACTACCATGAATCATGAATTAGTAATCGTGATTCACGCCCTCCGCACGACATACGCGTCTCAAAGTCAAATATCCCGCGATCCCCGCCCCTCAAACCGGCCAATTGTTGACAAGTTCCCGAAGACCCTCCAATCTAACCGGCTTCTTGAACGTCGTGTTCATTCCAAACTCATCAATCATTCGCCGATTCTCACTCTCTATAGGGTCTGCCATAAGTCCGACGATGATGGCGGGCTGAAGGTTGTTCTCGCGCTCATGCTGTCTTATGAGAAGTGAAGCTTGCATGCCGCCCATGACAGGCATGGAAATGTCAAGCAAGATCATCTTGCATTGATCGGGGTGCGCTTTGTACAGGTCGACGACTTCTTGGCCGTTCCAGGCAATGTTGTATTTGAGACCGAGCTTATCGAAGTGTAGCTTCATCACTTTCATATTGATTTTGTTGTCGTCGACTAAAAGGTACCTGGCGTCTTCAACCCATGAATTGGTTTCCTCAACATTTCCCGACGGGGGGACAGTTTGCGCCGAAGCATCTGACACTTTATTATCTGCTTCACTCATTCTGACTGTTTGCTGATTGTCATTAGACGTGGGGTCCTGTGCTGACGCGTCAGCGTCCGAGCTTCATCCGCATTGACAGTTTGGTGGCTTTAACGAACCGTGTTGGATCAAGATTTATAGACAAAACTTGATGTTAGATGAGACCGAGATGAGAGGCGATGAAAGTGAGTGAGATTGAATAAGTGGCGGCCTCTTGACCTTTGTTGTCGTAGCATTCGAGGGTTGACTAAGCGTCGTGGAGCTTGAAGGATTATATCTGGGTCTCAAACACATTGCGATCAGCAGTGTCAGTGGGCCAGTAAAATTGTTAGTGTCTTCCTTACAACGTTGGAATATTTCGAATAGGCCATTTATTAGATTTGGTCCTATAGTTATTATACTAGAGTGTAAAGTTGCAGGATACGTCCTGATTGGCTCTGGCGTATGTGCTCAGGTCCTACGACTACAGCCAGGACTATAGAGCTCAGCCACCATCACCGCCTCCTCGTAACCATTCGCTGCCAACGCCTATTAAAATGGAACATATGAAAGCTCTCCCCCCATCGTGAGCTCCGAAACATAATTTATTTATCCAAAAATTGCCATTGGCCCCTTCAAGATGTTCACACTTTTCCCTCGTTTACCACCAGAACTTCGCGATAAAATCTGGTACCACGCCCTATCGGAACCCCGCCAACCAGGAATATGCCAATGGAAGCCAGGCTGCTGGATCCCAAAATACCTTACAGCAGAAGACCATGGTTGGTCCGACGACGATCCAAACAACATCCGTTTAGAGTTTCGCCCCGACAAGCTGGGAACGCCAGTTCATATACCCATCGTGGATGTCAATCAGGAAGCCCGCCGTGTTGCGCTAGCTTGGGCTCGTGATAACAACATCAGGAATCGATACAAAAACGGCAAATACGACTTCAGGCGGAGGATGGACAATGACAGAGATATCGTCTACTTTCCCAGCAATATGATAGATGCTGCGGATATAGAGGCTCTTTCTCGAGGGGCTCAACCAGATCTCATTGAGAAGAATCACACCGTGGCAACATATATCACAAGCTTGGCTATACCTGCCAGATTCCTGCGCACATCAGATTGGACGCCTGATACCTGGGAATGGCATGAGAATCTTGAGAAGATATACGTCATTAGTGGGAAACAACCCGATCGAAAGGGTCAGTGGGAAATTGATATAACCAGAGGGACAAGCTTGTTTTGGACAAGGGAAACTCGCAAATTCATTCCTCAACTGGGAGCAGATAAGTTCTGCAGTACGGGTCTGTTGGAGACGATCATGGAGGATAAGATGGAGCTTGGGGCTGCACTCTCGCGCTGTCAAGGGCCGTCGAGAGAGTCGTTTGAGATTCGTATATGCTCAGCCATAAGAAGGTGAGTGGTTTTGTCCCTTACACAATGACATACTTACGTGTGTTCAGATCCCCGAAGAAGCCGTCTCGCACGGTAAAGAACATGAAAAAGATGTTTGATGGATGTTTAAGCACGGGGGACCGGAGCAAAGGTTGCCGATGAGCCTTGGCAAGAGCTGGCGCATAGAGAAACAGATGCTTCAGCCATACATAGATTATCTGTACTGCGGACAACTTCGACAGTGGCTTAGAATGTTACGGTGCTATCAAGAGTCATAGAAAATACCATCTAGTAAGGCAGTGTAGCTATAGGATTAATTCAAGTTCCAACATCCTATCGACAGAGCCCTTCCATCGATCCAAAGTCATGTCTCATCATAATAATACATTACGAAGCCAATCCACCTTTTCGACCAGCCTCCTTGGCCTTCTCACTACCGGCCTCGAAAGACCCAGATGAAGCCTTGCCGCCCTCAGAAGCAATCTTTCGCTGAATGATCCGTTAGAATCTGATATATGTTTAGATACGTGGTTGACTAACCTGTTTGTCGGCGTCCATGTTGGCAAAGCCGCCAGAGTGGCTGGACTTTCCGCCCTTGGAAGCAATCTCCTGAACTTCTTCTTTAGGTCTATGCTTGTTAGGCATGATAATTCTATACTTGAAACTGATGAGGCTGGACATACCGGTTGGCAAAGTTGCCAGGGTTGGGGTTGTCTGCGCCAGTCATTTTAATAGTTATGTAAATAATTATACAACAGGTCTTCTCTTTTTGAATCTGTTCAGCAAAACTGACTGGAAGTCTTCATCTTCAAATACTCGTCTGACATATAGTCCTAGTTGACGACGCGTTACGGATACGTCTACATGACGTCTACGACTCCACGCGCCCTGACCAATGCGCTGACTCGATTAGCAAATGTCTTATTTTCTATTACTTCCATATGACGTTTCTGAACAAGCAAAACTAATAAAATTCACGGCTGAGTGATGCGCTCATTCTTCTAATGACGCCCAAGATATTGCTTTGTTTCTTAGCAACAGCTCAAAACGACCTGTTATTGGTGTAAGCTTAAAGTGGTCTGTGGGTTTGTAGGGTTGCTCATCAATTCAACAAGATCTTCCAAGAATTAGAAGAGATTTTGTCAGCTCAAATAAAGTAGCTATGAGCATAATTCCGGTACAACTTTGGCTTACTGCAGTGTGTTGTGTCCCCGAGGATCCAGTCACTTATAACACCAGCGCGCCTCATCAGAAGATGTGAGTCGTGCTTATCTCAACCATGAATTAGAATATGTGTTTGGACAAGGAATTTACACTCAAGAGCAGCCATATGAAAATCGGTTCAGTAGCCAAATCTAAAGTCAAAGCAATTCTCTATGAGTTTTACTGGTATGAAGCAACAATTTCAAATAAAAAATCGAATGATAATCCGGTCACTGAGCAGCACGGCATTGGTAATGCCAACGTCTTTAACGTTATCCCCCGCGACTGATAAGATACGGAGCCAAAAGATAAGATCAGCACCCGCCAACAACAAGTCGAGCCGCTACGTCATTCCACCTTACGTAACCGTCATATTCCCGTAATCTCACGCTCACCCAAGTCACCGAGTCGGCGACTTGATCTCCTACCAACAAGCCGCTGAGAAATCACCAGCAACTCTAATCTCAATGACCGAATCGCAAAATCGCCAAAGCAGCGCAAGATCACCAAGCGCTGCACCCAGTCGGGCACGCGTAGCTCGCGTGGCTTGCAAGGCGTGTCACGCAAGACGGGTAAAGTGTGACGCCGCTGATGGGCAGCCGTGTTGGCACTGTCGTACGCGCGATGTTACTTGTGAGTTGATAGACTCCAAACGCGGAAAGTACGTAGAAGAAATGTGATATTATGAAGAATTGGGGACTCACGGGCTTGTAGATATGCTAGGCGAAGTAATGCGCAACGCGTGTCAAAACGACAGCAGGCGCAGAGTCCGATTGATCAACCCGATGCATTAAGCGACAGTATCGCAGTCATCACGCCTCAGAGTAACGAAAATTCGCAATACCAAGATCAAAGCCAGCCTGTCCCATCGGCCATCGCACGGAATAATGAACCGGGTTCTCAGCAACAGAGCTTGTCCGGGAACGACAAGTCATACTTCCTGGGCGACTCAAGCAGCTTATCATACATCGTCGAGATGATATGTAGTCCAAGAGGTGGTGTCAGCGAGCCCGTCAAAGTCCACTATCCCATACCAGCATCGATAGCAGACCGCGCAATTATTCCAACACGACCTCAAGTGGAACCACTCAGTGTACGGGATGCACTGACGATGCCGCCAAAAGAAATATCCGACCGTCTCGTGTATACCTTTTTCGAGATCATCCATCCGCCTTATCCGGTGATAGACAGACGTGCCTTTTCGGAGCTTTACAGACAGGGCAAAGCATCGCCTATGCTCTTACATGCGATGTTTCTTGTCACCTTCATCTTGTGTGACGAGAGTCTTATACAGGCTGCTGGGTTCAGTGATCGGACTGCTGCTCGCAAACATCATTATCTGCGTGCGAAAACCTTGTATGATGTTGATCATGAGACTGACCGGAATGTCCTCACGGCAGCAATCTTTCTTTTGGGGTTTTGGTGGAATGGGCCGGATGATCAGAAGGACTCGTGGTTCTGGCTTGGATGTGCGACGTCGTGTGCGCAGTCTTTGGGGATGTATCGCTCGTATGTGGACCATTTGTTGTTTGTGAGCTGATACTAACTTAGCCACAGTACAGTTGCATCGAGGCTGAGCCCAGAGAAAAGAGCGTTGCGGAAACGAATCTGGTGGTCCATCTATGTAAGTCAAAGCAGTCAAATAATTGAGTGCCCTAATAACACTTATAGACTCGCGACCGACATACCGCAGCATGTCTCGGCAAGCCATGCAGAATCAGGGATGAAGACTGCGACATCGAACCTCTAACCAAAGAAGACTTTTACTTTGACGACGACCACAACGATCCTCTAATAACCCGACAAGAAGAATACCATACGGCTCTCGCGATGGAGATGACGAAGGCTGCCGAGATCCGTGAGTTCATTTCTACCGATGGCCTTTCCTCTCAGATTACTAACCTTTGCCTAGTCGGAGATATCGTAATCGCAGAATACAGTCCTCGACGACCTGACTTGGAACAATACAGACCAGACCGTCTGAAACAAAGACTTGAACAATGGGAAGCACAGTTGCCAAAGTGCATGCAGAGGGCGCAGCTTGATGAGACGCTGGGTCCAGCGTTCTGGGCGACCCAGTTGCACATGGCATACCAGTAAGCGATATGACAGCGGACAACATAGTAGCTGACGTATTTCAGGAACTACTACATCCTTCTGTTCAGACCCAAGGCAATTGAGGACCTCACACCGTCTGAAGCCGAAGGAGACATTTGGGCGCGAAGGGCTGCTGATTCCATCACTCGTATGACCGAGGATCTCCTTGCGGTCGGAGCAATGAGTAAAAGTCAAATGCACATGCAAGTCGACCTCGCCCCCAATTCCACTCAGAGTCTAACCTTTTCTCAGTGTCCCCGCCGTCTTCGGCGCCCTCTCCATCCACACCCTCGTCATCTGCCGCAAGGATCCCATCCGACGCCAACTCGCCGGCAATAAATCACGGCAATGCATCCTCGCACTAAGTGAACTCGCAAAGCACTGGCCCGTAGGGTTATGGATCATGAGATTCTTCGGTAACCTCATGCGAAGACTCACAGGCCAAGGGTCTGCAGTCTCAGCAGGCTCGATAGTTGACGTGACGTCGCGCATTGCAAACTGTAACCGTAATGAAGACTCTACTCTAAATACCTCCGCGGAAGTCAGTAGGGCAACATCTCAGACGTTGGCGGAGAATGGCGGTCCGTTTACTGAAGCGACAAACGCTCAAGTCGCTGGCGCTGTGATGGAAACGAATGATCTGTTCCAACAGCCGGCAGATCAGTTTGGTTTTGACAACTTTTGGGCGGAGGATACTATTGATGTCGATCTACTGCTTCAGCATGGTTTATGTCCGTTGCTGCCCGGTAACTTTGGTACTTTCCCACCAGTGGCAGATTCACAAGGCTTTTAGAGAAAGACGAAAATCTGGTCAAAAACGCGAAATGCAAATCTTTTAACTGGGTATGAAGTCTATCTATTCTATGTGTCGCTGCTCTATAATGCTTTTTCTCGGACCTCATCTATCGCATCCCAAACACAAGTGATACAGCCAACTTGAGGCTGGCCCGAATTACGTATCTCTTCCCAAAATCCTTTTCTGTCATACTTTTAGATCTTTGAAGCAAATTTGCTCTTGGCTCGCATTTTCTTGCCGTATCTGAAGAATAGATAAGGGAACGGCGCCATGGCAACCGTCAAGAAAGCAAGAAGACTGGAAGCCCACTGATAACCAAGCGTCTCGTACATCTGAATTCCAAACAGTGGGAACGCCGCTTTATGACCGTTAGTGGCTGTTGTCGCAGTAAAAGAGCGAACTGGACGTACCTGCGAAAGAGCATCGGGCAAAGCTGTTGGCTGCCATGGCAGAAGCGGCGTATTGGGGGTAAGCGTCGACCAAGAAGGTGAAGATACCAGTGAAGACGAGCATCATGCTACAAGCAGTTGTTAGAACAAGATCTGAAAAACCCGGCCATAGAAACTTACCCGCATCCAAAAACCCCAGAACCAATGATAGGCACAATCCAATGAATGCTAGGGTATGTCGTCCAAGCAAACCAAAACAAGCCAATAGGGATAAGAATGGCTCCAAGAATACAAGGAGGTAGTCTGTACTCAGGCTCGCTGATAGCTTTTCCAGTCTCCTTCTCCTGCTCCGCCAACCATCGAAGTCGGAGTCTGGCCCAGAAGGGAGTCGTAGCCGTTGCAATAACAAATCCGACCAGGATTCCCAAGAACGTCATTCCGGTCTGCCAGAGACTCATGCCCTGGTTCGTTCGGAAGATGAGAGGGAAAGCGCCAAAGAATAGGTACAGAATACCGAGAAGGATGGCAGAGTAGAGATCCAGGCAAAGGCACATGGGCTCGAGGAAGAGCAGCTGAAAGGGTCGAAGGACTGACAGCTTGAGCGTCTCGAGGATTGGCTTCTTCGTATGCTCCATCGGCGCTCTATAGGCCTCATTTCCAGTTTCCTTTCTCAACATCCTCGCCTTGTCTCTCAACAAAATCGGATGAAACGTCTCCGGCGCAAACACCACAATAGCCACCATGACAAACGCAGCCCAAATCAGCATAACATAGTACGTCCACCTCCAATGCGTATTATAGTTAATAAAACCGCCAATCAACGGCCCAATAGCCGGTCCGATGAAGGGCGCCAACGACACCAAACTCATAGGCTTCTGGATCTCATGCCGCTCGAAAACATCACCTGCTGTTCCGCCTGCAACGCTGAGGAACGAACTCCCCGCAAAACCAGTAAAGAACCGCGCGATGATCATGGTCTCGATGTTTTGCGCTACAGCGGAGGGGATCGTCCAGATTATGAACATGGCCCATGAGACGAGGTAGATTGGTCGTCGGCCGTAGTACTCGCTCAACGGGCTGGTGAGCACAGGACCGAGGGCGATTCCTAGGACAAAGGTTGAGAGGCCGAGGGTGGCGACGATCTGGGAGCAGTGGAATTCGGCGTTCATTTGGGTGTAGGTAGCTGTGTAGATTGAACTTGCGCATGTTCTGAACAAGTCAGTTGATGTAGAGTGAGGGTGGGATTGGGGACTTACACGCAGAGACTTCCCATGCATGCGATTGAGACAATCATCCATTTTCGCAACGTCGACATACTCCGTGGACATAAAGGATCCTTGTCGCCGTCCCACGAAACTTCGAAGGATTCGCAGTCGGTAGTCAAGTTGCCAGCCTCCGTAGTCTGATCACTAAGATTCGCATTCTGATCATCCGTGTTATTTCCAGCCATCGGCGAATTCTTCTCAAGGTCGCTGCTGGAACTGGCTCGCTGATCTGAGAACAGCTGCCCATCGTGAGGAACCTCTTTCTCACTCATTGTCAATGTTGTAATGATACCATGCCAAGATAAGACCCTGGTTTTTGTTCGCATGGGAGATACTGACGTATTTAAAACAAAAGTAGGTAAATTTGCGGCTCCACGGCGCGCATCAGATTTGTAATGACGCTTTCTTTTTTACGGAGATAAGATGTGGGTATTCGCTATCTTGAGATGCCTCGGCGTCTTGGACATTAGTTCAAATCGTTATTGCGCTGTGATAGGCCCGGCTTTTGCGATTGCAGGGGGTGTTTTGGCCACCTCGGTTTTTGGCGCGGTTTTGCAAAAGTCGGCGATTAAAGAGCTGATGGGAGAATTACCAAGCTGAATGAGACTGTTGGTGAAAGGGCGTGGTTTTGCATGGTGTTTTGGGGGGATTTATGAATATGCCGAGTAATTCCGCATTTAAAGAGCGAGATTGAGTCTTCCAATGTAATATTGTGGAAACTGTTACAAAGTGGCTGGCTTTGACATCTATTTGACACATGCCAATGAGTATTGTTCAATTCTCTCTCAAGATCGGCTCATCTGTGAGCGCAAACCGTCTCACGAGACATGTGAGTGGCTGTTTATCTGTAGATATCTGTTTGAGGTACGTCCCTTATGTCCAAAAGATACCTACCCTGTAGATGCCCATGAACTTGTCTTGTTTTGATGACGAGACTCGGAGATAGAGTAAAGTTAAGAGTTAGATAATTTTATCGAAAGAGTCTGCGATATTTATGGTATTAATTTGATTAACTCTCCTGTTTTTGTTTTTGGTGAGTTTGGAGTTCTGGTGGGCTGTTCGCCTGATCCGTCAATCAACCAGTCACCAATTTTTACACTTTGCGATATTCCCTCCTCAACCCATCAAATCTCAAACCTATCGCTCCACGTGGTATACCAGCCACAATGGATCAAGCTTCAGAAAAACCCGTCTTATTCTTGTGAAAGCCCCTCCTGATCACTTCAAAGCCACCTCTAACGGGTTTAGTGATATTGACAACTGTCTATACTCACGTAGTACGTCAACGGTCAAGTCCTCACACAAAGCCTAACCTGCGCAGATGACAAAGTCCTAGAGCACATGTCGCGCAATATCGACGACTATTTCAAGAAACATCTCGGCCTATCCCCAGACGATGCAGAGCGCCTTCACAAGGATTACTCTCAGCAGTACGGCCAGGCAATTGAAGGCTTGGTACGCCACCACCAAATCGACGCGTTAGAATACAACGCCCAGGTCGATGACGCGGTCCCATTGGACGACCTCATCAAGCCCAATGCCCAATTACGACAATTCCTCGAGGACATTGATACTTCGAAAGTCAGGCTTTGGTTGCTAACTAATGCTTATGTGAATCACGGCAAAAGGGTCGTGCGGTTATTGGGCGTTGAGGATCTTTTTGAGGGGTTGACGTATTGTGATTATTCTCAGGTACCATTTGTGTGCAAGCCACATAAGGAAATGTTTGACAAAGCTATGAGAGAAGCCGGAGTTTCTGATGTGTCGAGGTGTTATTTTATTGGTAAGATGGATATTTTATCATTTTCAGGCCTTTACTGACACTTTTTAGATGACTCTCATAAGAATTGTGTCGGAGCGGAAGAGGCTGGCTGGACTGCTATTCACTTTGTGGAAGAGGGACTTCCTGTACCTGACACACCGGCGTCTCAGCATCAGGTCCGCCATCTCGAAGAGTTGAGATCACTGTACCCCGAGTTCTTTAGAGTTAGAAATTGATACTGTCTCTATCTGCCGTCAGTGTCCGTGTGCTACCCCGCCAACCCCTGTCAAGTGCCCAGGATTAGTGCCCCGCTACGCGTTAATTACCCCTTGATCACCCCGCGTCGTTTCTTATCATACGTGTCTGATCGAGGGGCGGCAGCATCTCTTCTCGAGTTTCAACATTCACTTTCGAACAGTTACACTTTAAAACGGATGAAGCCTTCTGCAAACAATTACATACAAGATGAAGCCAAAATTCTGCACCTTGTGCGGAACACACATTATTCAAACTTCAGCGGAGAAATGGGCTAGGGAATTTCGCGCGAGTAAGCTTCCCCGCCTAAACTCAATCTCAGCCTAACACGGCCCCAAAACAGTCTGGATCCAAGGTAACAACTTGGACGATGTGAAAGTCTCTGGCGTCGCCGCTAGGGACTGGAACGATCGAAACGATATCAGCAGCATTGTTCCAGTGAATCCTAATGCACGCTACGATGATCGACAGGTGGATGACGACGGCTTTCCCATTGAAGATGATGATGAGCATGAACCAGATGTCGAGATCTCCATCGTCAATATCATTCATCCCAACCCTCCTCCCGAGTGGCGCTGGGGCTTCTTGTTCCACGACGTTTGTTGGAGTCTGTTGAACTTTGAGGAAAAAGTTGATCTTGGCGACCTCTTTCGACTCTGCGCCTCAACGCCTATCGGTCCTGACGTGCTTCTCAACTTTGGGCACGACTATGGTGGTGTTGCGGCACAGGACTATGAGGGGAGCATCGAGGTATTGGTGTCTCTCTTTAGAAAGGCCGAAAAGATGGGAGAAATGCCCAGGGCGAATCCTTTTGAGATCCCCGCTCTCAAAAAGGCCATCAACTTCTCTGCCCGTATGCAGCAGGATGCCTTTCAGTCCATTCTCGACCGATCGACCCTCAGCGCAGACAAGGATGTCTTCAATTACTTCCCTCCAGAGATCCTTGAGAATATTGTGACGTTTCTCCCGTCTCCCGATGTTCACTCTCTTCGCCTTGCATCTCGTGTGTTTGCAACCCTCAGCCTGTCCGAGCGCTTCTGGGTTTCACGATTCACAGAGGGACACGAGTTTGACTGCCTTCCTGAGGTGTTCGCTACTCCCCCGACATCATGGAGGGCCCTCTTTCTCTCTCTTCACATCTGGGCGTCTGATAACATGGGGATGGGCAACCGCAAACGAGTCTGGCCGCTTGTCAAAGACTTCCACGAAACAATTGGTCAGATGAAAGACGTCAATTGCCTTGGGAACGTCATCAACACGGCTTTTGAGCCAGAGGCACCAAAGTCCATGCCGAAACGCGAGTCCTTAATTTCTGCTGAAAGATATATTTCCGAACATGCAACTCATTTCATGGGCGGATCCCGGGTACTCCGAGCCAGGTTCACGGAATTTCCCCAGAAACTCAACATAATGCTCATCTCTGTATCATTTGTCGATACTCCAGATGGGGAATATATCTCTGGCCTCATGTTTGTTGGCGCCGATGGCGTGTTCGAGTCTCTTGGATACACTCATAAATCACAAATGGAACATATAACACTCCCCGAGGATCAATGTGTCAAAGGATTCGAAGTGGCCCTTGATGTGTGTGGCTTTCGGGCAATCGCGGCCATCACTGAAGATGGTACCACGTCCTCGTGGGCTGGAGATCCGGCTGACTACCCCAGGAGACGTCTCACCGATATCCAGGGCATTTCCCTCATCGTTGCTCAGTTCGATGTAAGCTTTACTAAACCTTATATCATAGGATCGAACTAATTTTGTAGGCGCTTAAACTCGTGTCGCTAAGTCGCGATCGTATAACAAAGAACCTGGACGCGAGGGATAATTTGCTCTGGCATCCCGAAATCCCATCTCCCGAATTATTCTTGGATGGAGTCCTACCCTTGGACGAAAAAAGGAGCTCAAATGTTCCCATCACGACAGTTTTCTTTGGAGAAAACGACGGCCGATACATAAGACAAATGAACTCGATAGACACCCACATCTACGACTGGTGTCACGTTGACCGCCTCAGCTTTGAGTTTATGGACGATAGCATTGAGCGATGTCTTGGGGATGTCGAATATGAAACAGAGCAGTCCGATCGTGCCCCGATAAGATTCCCAGACCACGGCAGTTCTATGGGGCATATGGAAATTGATGGTGGAAGTGGCGAAGAGATTGAGAGTTTCGAGGTTCAGTTTGACAAAGGTATTATCATTGGACTCAAGGTAAGACTGCTCATCTGAGAACGGAGAGAGTAAAGGCTGATATTTCAAGTTCACTCTTAACACCAATCGTACTGAGCTTTTGAGTAATCATGATGATCCCTTTGATTTGCCGTGGACCAAGGTTACTCCGCGTGGTAAAAGGATCATTGGCATGTTTTCTCAAGGCACTGAGACTGGATGGGGTGTAAGTTTCATTCTCTGTCGAAATATGCATATGTATGTGGTGCTAATATTGTCTGACAGGCTAAGACGTTCCACAATCTGGGCTTCATTTCTACTAATGAGGAACAGGAATAGATTAGATGATAGACATGTTTAAATTTGAACTATTGGATTGTGTGTTTGTTATATGCCGCATATGAATCCTACCATCCCTTCGTCTGCAGTCAGCCCAAAATGGTGCTGACATAAGTTTCTCACTGGTGTCTTGATCAAAATCTCACTCATCGTCCTTCCGTATTTTCTTTTGAAACTTGGACAAAACATGGATTCGCCAAACAGAGTACTCGTCACGGGTGGAAGCGGTTTCTTGGGAGGACACGTAGTCCGACAACTTCTCAACGATGCAGAAACAACTGTCGCTATCGTCAGTCGTCACCCCAAGATGCCTGCTGATGTTGCTGACGAGTCTCGCGTGTCGCTTCATGCAGCCGACCTGACAATATCGAACCAGATTGACCAGGTCTTCGAGACGTTCAAACCGCATGCTGTTATTCATACGGCCTCCCCGTCTTATGTCGACACACCTGCGAACCTGATCAAGGCAAACATAGATGGGACAAAAGCTTTACTGAAAGCTGCTTCATCTTGTGCTGACACACGCGCTTTTGTCTTTACCTCCTCTGATTCAGCTGTTGTACCTACGCAAGAACCTCTATCCGAAGAAGATTCTGTTCTATACGACGAGACGAACGCTCCTAACGCTTATGCTATGTCAAAGGCTGCCGCTGAAAGACTCGTCATTGCTTCAAGTTCAGAACAACTTCGGACTGCAGCTATACGAATACCAGCAACATATGGCGAATACGACATGAACTTCGTGTGTCAACTCGTACAAAGCATTCGAAGAAAGGAGCACAAAATGCAAGTCGGCAATGATACCAAGGTCTTTGAGTTTCTGTACGTCAAGAAAGCAGCCGAGGCACATATCCTCGCCATGAGAGCACTTCTGGACTCCGAGAAGCGTGATGTAGCCGGAGGCCAGGCATTCTTTATCTCAGATGGTAGACCACATAAGTTCTTTGACTTCTCTCGGAAGCTTTATGCCGCGGCTGGTCATCCGGTTGCATTGGAGGAGGTTACGAAAATTCCGTTCTTTGTGATGCAAGCGATGGCATCGACGGCTGAGTGGGTTTACTGGATTATGACATTGGGGTATATTAAACCAGGTATGCGAAGGACTGCTATTGATCATTTGGATTCTGGATGTTGTTGGTCGTTGGAAAAGGCGAAGAGGATCCTGGGTTATGAACCGGTTGCGGACCAGGATGAAGTTATTAGAAAGACCATGGAATGGGCGATGAAAGCTTTGTGAGAGACTGTTTGACGTTGAGTTCTGCACTTACTTCGCACTTGTGGGAAGTGAAACCATATCTAGCTAATACACGTACTGAAAGTATTTGTTCTTAAAGTCCGTCTCATCCAGTAATCCTGCCTCCCAAGCTCTCTGCTGATTCTCAGCAGTATGAAGGTCTCGCCTTGACCTGTTCCTCATCCACAACAATACCCAGAGGGCAACGAGACTCGCAACCTGGATGGCAATACACGTGAACATCATGCCCACTCCAAGCTCGTACTGGGGTGCCTGTTTAGACTTGAAGAAGAATGGCCCGACAAAGTTTCCCAGACAATACCCGATTAGCAACAAAGCGTTCGTTGTGATCTTTTTAGTGTGACCCGCTGTGTTGGCCATGGAGACGGACATGCTAAGAGTCCAGGTAGCTGTGTATGAGAAAGATATCCATAGACATGCTAAGCGAGCGTATGCGTCGCTGTGAGGGAGGAAATGAAGACCTAGAACGCCGGCGAGGAAGGGGACGAGACCGAGGAGCATGATCGGAATTCTGGAATTCTTGATGGCGGAAGCCCCCCAGCTGTAAGACAGTGGTTAGAGGAGTTCCTGAGTAATAAGACTGGGAGACTTACCAGGCTAGCACACAGGCGACTAGTTGGACTGCACCTGATGGCATCTGATATAGTGTCGTGTCGAGGGTGCTGAAGCCAGCACCTTTGATGATGAGACCTTGGAACTGAGATAAATCAGTTAGCAGCAATCCGAGAACTAGGAAGGAGATAAATACCGCGGATAAGCCTCCATTGGGCGAGTTACTCGTCAGGGCAAACAAGAATAACAACCAGGTCTTCAGATCAAGCATCGCCTCCCAAAACTGCGCCATCTTAAAGTGTTTATTCTCAATACCCGTGCCATTTCCCTTCACCCTCGAAATAACCCTCGCCTTCTCATCAGCTGTCAGAAACTTCGCTCTCATAGGGGCACCTGGAAGCAAGAACAGGAGGATTACGCCCCAGGCAACTGTGATGGATCCCCAGATGATAAAGAGTACTCGCCAAGAGGGTAGAGCAGACTTGACGTGGCCTATGCCAAAGCTAGCTATACCAGCGATGATGTAGCCCATGCCTGCGGAGCCAATCCATATGCCCATACGGAGAGGCTGTTCTTTTCGCATGTAGTACATGCTGAAGAGGAGCATGGTGCCAGGATTTATGGCTGCTTCGAGGGCGCCGAGAAGGACGCGCACGACGACGAGGGTTGTGAAGGAGGTGACGGCTCCGTGGGCCATGAGTACAGCGCCCCAGGCGATGACCTAGAAGATCTCAGTAAAAGACGAATGGACTGGAGGTTGAAAGGGACTTACAGTTCCTGACATGAAATAGTTAATCGGAAATCGTTGAAGAAACATACTGGTCGGAAATTCCCAGACTAGATAACCGAGGTAGAATATCCCGCCGGTCCATGAGAACTCATCTCCCTTGAGGTTAAGATCTTCTCGTAACCCGAACACAGCAGCATAGCTGATAGTATTCTTATCAATCGACTGTAATGCATAGGTGAAACAGAGAAGAGGCATGAGTCTCAGGTCTAGTTTCCATCGTAGAGCCTTATCGAGCTCAGGACTTGTCTCGATATCATCTGCATCGTGGCACAGAGTCAAGGCTTCAGCCGTAGAAGCATCGTTTATGGTTCCCTCTTTGATAGATTGGGTATGTTTCAAGTCGTCTGTTATTTTCTCTGCCATTTTGTCAACAGTTTGTATGGGCGACGAAAGAGGCGATGCACTGAGTTGGGCGTAGACATCTCCAGTCTTTATACGTATCTCCTCTTCTGGTCATTTGAGGTTAACTGATAGTTGATCAGTGGATAACAGGTCGCAATTCCCGCGGGAAACTCCACCGGCGGATACCACGATGTTGTAGTTGCGATACGCGGCCTAGGGTGCTTATCATTACCCCTCAGCTACAATGTAACGTTGATATCGAGCATCAGTCGTACCACATGGCTATCTATCTCTCACCCGGTCTATAATCTGCATGCCCATAAATAAAGCATTAGCTGGCAATATACTTTCTCATCCCAACCTAGTACTATGTTAGTTAGGTCCTTGGACAGATACATCACTGGTTAGCTTTTCGGGATTTCAATATTCGTGGCATCGAATGTTGAATAACAAGCTCTCTGTGCTGATATAAGCTCCCAGCCATCATAAAACAAATCGCCCGAATTATGATTGATTCGATTTAGACCTTGATCTGGAACCTTGCGCCAGTATCGGTAGAACTGACATAATCTTCCAACTGCAGCATGTTTCTTGCGACTAAGTATGATCTGCGGACATCAGATCTCTTCGGTAGGCGCCAGACCAGAGACAGGCCAAAATCATTGGCAAACGTGGACATGTTTCTAGCAGCTCCGATGGTATATCGGTCTGAACCACGACACACAGGCTTTATAAACCACGAAACAGAATGGCTGGTAAATTGCCCGTCATTTTTGACCGTCGATACACCTGCCCCGTCATGTGACATGCACTTTCCAGAGCTGTAGTGTACGAATCTGACAGCATGTCTAAGACCTGCACCGAATCCACTCCCAAATGACATTTTCCACATCGAGAATGACATTTTCCACATCGATGCCATCTTGACTGTATCTAGGTCTTCTGATCTTCGATGGACAGGTATACCAGCCCCTATGAATAGAGACATCGAGGTGATGTCGTCGAAACTTGGAGGTTTTGGTCCGATTCCAAACCCCTCATCAGTAAGGAGCGTGACGAGAGTAGAAGGCCGCAAGAGAGTCCACTCAATGAGTCGGACAGTATTTTCTCCAACAGCTGCTCTGAAGGTCTGCTCTTGCCTGTTGAGCTTTTCCTTCTGGCGTTGGATTGTAAGTGCGCCTTCGAAAAAGTCCACGTTCGGAGCATCGTAAGCCATCTGCAGCAGAGAAATTCCCTTGACGACCACGACCCAGTAGCTCAGCATCTGTCTCTAGTTATTAGAATCTGATTATAGACAGGATCTCGAAATAATACCCAAGTCTTGCTCTTTTCGTGATAGCTAACGAAATCATCAGTGTTATCAAAAGCCTTCAGGACGGCCTGACGGAAAAAAGACCTGGGCCCATCCTCTGCAAGGAAATCGTTGATGCGGTCAAGAATACCGGGTATTTCATTAGAGCACACCCTAAGGCAGTCTTCCAGGCGAGTTTGGATGGGATTTAGCTTTTTATCGCGTTCTGCATCCGAGATATCCTCAGGCAATGTGATGGCTGTTTCCATCAGGTTGGTAATAGTGTCGAACATAGTCTCTATTTTCGTAAGAGACTCCCTCAGGTTGTCGCTTCGTAGTTGGAGAAGAGCTTCGGGAAGCTCTCGTGACAGATTATCGACGGTCCGTTTCTCATTTCTGTGCCAGCCGCGGAGATATCCCGTCGGATCTTGTCGCTGTCACTACCGCCCGAGGCCGAGTGCAGAATCTGTTTGAAGGCCCATGTCCCAGCCTCACCTGCTAGGCCGATGGCGAACTTATTCAGGAGCAGCGGGCCGGAGAGTGTTATAATTGTGGATGCTACCATGACGTACTATGAATGTCTATCTTGAAGGGAACTATGGTTGTGTTACAGGAGCTGGAGAAATTAAGAATACGGAGGACAAGCGAGGACGCCTTGAAATAGTTGAGTGACAAGTGAGGCTGAATAACCTCAGCAAGTAGTTGGTGATCTTTACAGCATTAAGTGGATTTTATCGAACGCCACTCATGGTCTAGCCTCACCGGCGAAGCTGTGTGTAAGAACAACGCCCAAGGCATTTTTCAATTGAGCAGCTGATGCTAAGTCGGTAGGCTGAACTGCTTATTCTATTAAATCTCTTATCTTGAATCTGGTGATCGGCATCGCCATACGAGGGTCCCTTATGTGACCCGGTTTAACGTGGGACCTTGATAAACGCGGGGAAGCCTCAGGACATTCATCCTAAGCGATCGAAAGATTTAGCTAAATTTAGGCAAATTTCAGTACATCTTTAGACCAGTCCTGCCTCGCCAGCACGTACAAGGTTAGACCTACGGATACGCTTATCTGCCGTCCGATCACTAGCATAGTTTTCCGCGGTTGCGCGGGGAACATGCAAACCTACTTGTCCTGTTTCCCGAGACGGGATAAAGTTGCCGAATGCCGATTGATAAAGAGGACCGAGAAACTGATGGAATTGGAACACAGCACTGCACTTTCTTATAGTAGATTCACAGAATGACATCCACACATCCATACCAGCTGCTACCTATCGATGAGAGAGTCAAACGAGTTTTGGCTACAACACCTCTTATAGATGGCCACAATGATTTGCCTCAACAGCCCAGAGCTTGTTTCCATGGAAAAATATACAATAATGAGAAATTCAACCTGGAAAAGGGTTTCCAGCGTGGAATGACTGATATCCCTCGTCTGAAGCAAGGTGCCCACAAACATTTGCCTTCATCCCCAACCGGATGCTGACACTCTTTCAGGTGCTGTGGGCGGGCAGTTCTGGTCTGTCTGTGTTCCATGTCTCAGATCAGCAGAGAACTTCACTACCCCAGAATACTCAGACATGGCTCGAGATGCAATTGAACAGATCGATCTTACTCTGCGACTGGTTGAATCTTATCCAGAGACATTCCAGCTGATTAATGGCCCTAAGGAAGTCAAAGATGTTTACGCTAGTGGTAAGATTGCTTGTTCTATTGGCATTGAGGGGCTGCACATGGCAGGCAACAGCATCGGTATCATTAGAGCTTTCTACAGGCTTGGGGTGAGATATGTAAGTAAAAAAGACCCCGCTTGCTTTAGACATCATACTGATTTGGGGAGTGCACTCTAACTCATGTGTGCAACAATGCCTTCGCAGATAGCTCCACTTCAAAGGTCGGACCGGTTCATGGTGGCCTGTCTGACCTAGGAAGGGCTGCTGTCAAAGAGATGAACAGGCTTGGTGCGCAACTATCACCCCTTCTCGTGGCCCAGCTAATAGATTTAGGCATGATTGTTGATCTCTCTCATGTCTCCGAGGACTGTGCCAGCCAAGTTCTCGACCTCACACGAGCCCCCGTCATGTTCTCTCACTCCAATATGAAAGGAGTATTTGACTGCCCCCGTAACGTTCCTGATCATATCCTCGATAAAGTACCCGCCAATGGCGGTATTGTAATGGTTACCTTTGTCCCAGAGCATGTCACAACGCGCCGACGAGATGCGAAGATGGAAATGGTCATCGACCATCTATTTTACATCGCTAATCGCATCGGCTGGGATCACGTTGGCCTTGGATCCGATTTCGACGGGATCGCTAGTGTCATCCCGGGTCTTGAAGACGTGACATGCTATCCTCATCTTCTGAAGGCTATTCTTGATCGTGGGGCGACGGAAGAGCAGTTGTCAAAGGTTATTGGCGAGAACATTCTTCGAGTTTGGGGAGGGGTCGAGAAAGTGAGAGATCAGATGAAGGCTGAGGGAGTGCTTCCAGTGGAGGATGTGTTTAAGGATCGGAAGTGGTGGAGATACGATGGATATTACCAGATGGAAGATCCTGACCCTGAGGATAAGCTTGGACTTGACTGGTATGGAGTACCTCCGCCAGATGAGGGTCTATACCTCGAGGAGTAGGGAAGCGTGAGGAATACAAGATCTCACCCGGGTTTGAAAGATTGCAGCTTTGTTTGGTCACAGGAGTGCCTCAGCGCAAGAAAATACAACACTTTAGAAGAGGGTCCTCAAATAAACTTAACAAAGAGTCCCCTAAATTCAGGCTAAGGTACCTAAGTACCTAAGTATTTTATTACTTTAGGATTAGGGTCTTGGGTTTTCATCCCTCTCCTAAGGGTGGTAGCAGAATTGGAAAATAGAAATCAAGTGAAAGTTGTTTAATGTGAGTGAAAGTGACGAGCCACTATCAACGAGAGAACCTATCTCATAGACCTTTAATCATACAGAACCGCACATTCATGGTATATAATGAAAGCTAAAACAGAGAACGACACTAAATCGCAGGCTCTACTGTCGTGGCTCAATAGGAGCCTCAAGCCTCCTGGACTCATCCTTCGGTTGGAAGACACCCTTGTCAGCCCCCATGCTATGGCCATCAGCGCTAGCACTGTGGTGGGCAGCATCAATATCAGGGTGGCCACCCTCAAGTCCACCGTTGTCGACGATAGGGCGGTTGTCAATAGTCATCTGAGGAGCAACATCATACTTTCCATCACCGCGATCAAGACGGTGAGATGGGATAAGAATGTTGAGGAAGCGAGGAGCAAGGAATGCACCGATGATGAAGATGACAACCATGTGCATGAGAACGAAGCTGTAGATGAAAGGAGGATCGTCGGAGTAGTTGTTGAGGAACTTGGGATAGGCAAAGGAGAACACAAGAGCCACGGCTGGACCTGTGATATATTTCAAACAAATAGGCCATACCCAGTGGATCTTCCAATTTGATTTGCCCCCGAGGATCGCGTTGTTGAGATCGCGACGGATTTGGTTGCCCTGGTGTGAAGTTAGAGGTTGACTAGGATACTAAGACGGGGGGGATACGTACCGAGTAAAAGGCCGCGTACCAGAAACGGCTGAGAATAGCATTGTTTCCCCAGAATCGGGGAGCAGGGATCGATGGGGTCTTGCCAAAGAAGGCAGTGAAGAGGGAGCAGCCGATGAAGATACCAAAGCCAACGCCCGCTCCAGCGGGGGCGCTTACGAGGTGGCCAATGAGAAGACCAAGGAACAGAGACAAAACATAGCCGCCATTGTAAACGAAGTAACTGATGAAACCAATCTGATCAACGGGATCCTTCCACCGGTACAGCGTGCAGGCCATATACGTCTCTGACCAGACAGTGATGAAAAGAGCAATATCGTTGACAAAGGCATCAACCGCATCGAGGACACTGAATCCAAACTCACTGCTGTAGATGAGTGAAGTCAGAGCACCAAGGATGATGACGGAGGTAGAGATGATCCAGCGAGGAATGCGTTGGCCCATGTTGGTATCACAGAGGAGAGTGACAAGAACCTCGGCGAGGGCAAACACACAGGTAAGCCCAAGAAGGACCAGGGTGATAAAGAAGAGAGCAGAGAAAAAGTTAGATCCAGGCATCTCGGCCAAGGCTTGAGGGTAGTAGAAGAAGCCAGAGCTGAAGGTAGACAGAGGGTCGACATCACCGGGATTGATGCCGAGGTAGCCTACAACGCCCATGACAGCCAAAGCTGAGATGATCTCGATGGCAGAGTTGCTGAGAGCAATGATGAAGGCATCTTGAACAGCGTTGGCGAACTTGTTGTTGTAAGAGGCGTATGAGGTGAAGTAGCCGAAACCAACACCAATGGAGAAGAACATCTGTCCGAAGGCATCCTGCCATACGCGAGGACCTTCAAGAGACTCGCTTCGCCATGTGCCAACATAGAGTCTGAAGCCATCAGAGGCGTTGGGAAGGGAGAGGGAGCGGATGGCGAGAATGCCAATCATGATAAGAGGAAGGGCCATGGTGATGTAGATGACACGGCCGGTGAGACCGACACCCTTGAAGGTACACATCCACACGACGAACCAGATCATGATACACCAACCGAAGGTCTCGCCGACGATGCCACGGCCGGGATAATGCTTTAGACCACCACCGTCATCAGCACCACCCGTAGCAGGGATATTGCGGACAACTCTATCGTTGAAGAAGTCTGTAGTATCCTCTCCAGCCCAAGGCAGCGGACTCTGGAACGACATCCTGAAATAAGTCATAGCCCACGCCAGAATCGGAACATAGTATCCAACGACACTAAAGCCATTGAACACCATACTCAGTCCAATACCCTTGGCGCGATGGTTCACATTGTTCCAGGCAATAACACAGCCGCCGCGATAGGCCTGACCGAGGGTGATCTCGAGGATGAGGATGGGAATACCGATGAGGAAGAGCGCGACGGCGTAGGGGATGAAGAACTGCAGACCATAGTTGTTGAAGACGACAGAAGGGAAGCGCAGCAGGTTTCCCAGACCGACGGCACCACCCATGGCGCAGAGGACGAATTGCGAGCGCGAGTTGAAGTTATCGCGACCGTCGTCGTCCTTTGCTGAATCTGGTGCAAGCATGAGAAAGATTCTCTTGGCCATGCCTGGCTTCTGGCCCTTTTCGGCGACAGCCATGATGAGCGATTCTCAACAACGAAACTATTCACTAAGAAACGTATGAGAAAATGAGGTATAAGTGAGAAGAACGAAGCTGATCGGCCTCTCCACAAGGTGGATCGCGTCCCCTCGATATATACCCCAGAAATGCCCAGTCTCAATATCTCGCCGAGACGCGTACGATTAATGACACGCTCATAATTGGATTTGCCCGGGGCAGCCAAGACATCTCAGCTTGTTTGCTTCAGACCAATTGCCCTCGATCTTGGCGGCGGCGAACCACTTTATATAACCGCCAAGCAAGCGCATCTCCAATCCGCAGCGCGTGCCAATGCTATACCCCATCTCGTGATAATCCCGCCAAGCGACATAACAGGAAGGCCAGAAAGAACCAACATTCCACGCCTCACGTGCCAGAGCCCAAGGATCAACGGACTCGCCAAGGAAATGCCAATGCTGTTATCTGGGGTAGTGCTTATCGACTGACTCTGCATTCAGCAGGTGCTTTTGTCAGTGTCAACAATAGCGCCTTGGTTTTGTGAATGTAGCGTCTTGGGGTTATTTCCGTTTCCCCGTCTGCCGTTGGTATCCGGTTCTAAACAGTCGCCTCCTTTCTTGGGTAGATAGGTCTTGGGTTTTGGAGATTCAGGCGAAGTTGGGGTTTTGGATTAAGGTGTCTTGGCTGTTTCTTGGCTGATAGCAAACACAGATAAGCTGCCCGCTTATGCTTAAAAATGGATTACGACATGTCGGGGCTAAGAGTCACTGCCAAGATGTTAATCAGATAGAGTCCATCGGTTGAACGCGGCCAAATTGATCACTCACCAAATCATTAGTAGCTTTGGCGGCGATGGACAGGAAGATTTGTTCCTGATGATTTGATGCTCATCGTATTGTGACCCTAGATCACTTTTCTGGAAGGGCAGGTCGGTTGGCCGATGGAGTGAGCAGTCATGTTACGCCAAGTATATTCCCTTGGCACGACCAGGGAGACGTGACACTGATGTAACGCCGTGTATGAGTAAGACAGAAACGTAAACGGAAACGAACATTAAAAAAGAAGTGGAAAAAATGTTGCCCGATAATTCAGGTCCTGCATTGTTGGAATGCGCGAGGTTAGAGGCTAAGCTTTCAGCCTTGCGGAGAACACGTCAAGTTTCAATACATGCGAGCCGATGCTTGTTCATGCTCACGTGGATTCTTAGGTAGTGTGACTATGTAAGAATGGAGGACTCTAGATTTATGCAGAGCGCCAACTATTAATTCTAAAAGTTCGTCTATTTTCTATGCCTCTAGAGCGACAACCTTGTAATTATATATCCCTTCCAAGAGACGGCTTTAGAGCGTGAATACATGTATACCATTGTCGTAAATGTTGCTTGGAAATATCAAGAGAGGAGAGAACGAATGAATAAGAGTGTAGATATTGATTCTAGATGTTGAAACATCCTAAAATCACCAGAACCCAGGGATCTGGTTGACATAGGTCAAGGTAGCCATGTCGCTCTTCGCGGATGAACCCCCAGGTTTGGGAGGGTCGGGAGGCCTAGGACCATTTATAGCCTCCAAAACAGCAGCAAATATTCCACAGCTTATCATGATGTTTTCATACGTCACTAGCAACAGTCAGCTACATAACGTTCCTCATGTTCCGCCAGACCTACCTTCATTTCTCTTGAAGTGGCTTACCACCCGGTCATACAACCCCGAGGATTGTTTTTCATGCTTTTCATCGCCAGAACTTTGTCTGCGTGGCGAATAATTACGCTGCGTCTGTTGGAATCTGTATGTGGGCGGCATTCCGTTCTGATGGAGTCGGTGGGCTTGTTGCCTTAGCGGAATCGCATATGGAGCTTTGCTCAACAGGCAAGGCATTATCATCGATATCATCGTTGGTAGTGATGCGCAGCTCGTGTACGTAGTTGAAAAGGTATATGACCAGAGGCGATGTGAGGCAGAGGCCGATCTGCGATTGAGTGGCAGAAAACATCTTGTTGCTCGGGAGGAAGATTGGAGGCGCCATCTTATATGTAAGGGATCAACGAGTCATAGTCAAGGTTTTATTTTACCAACTTTATACTAAAGCGATTGGTCCAGCATTTTAAAATAATATCCAAGCTTTGAGCCAGATGTGTCATCTGCATTTAGACTTGTGGCTCAGAGCTTAAATCAGCACAGAGAACCTAGCCACAACATAAGAAGTTGGCCTCAGGAGAAAAGGCAACAAGAGTCTGAGTTTACAAACTTTCTGTCTGGTGACTCTGTTAAAGTCAAAATTGACAGCAGGAAGTCTACGAAAGCCGGCGTGGGCCAACCTGGTTTGCAACTCGATAGATGGACTCTCTCAGATACATGACAGTGATCAAACAGACTACTCACATCCCCTGCGCGATGATATTCATGCCAAGACTAGCTTGATAACTACAGCTTCATCTGCGTACTCCAATGACAAGTATATCGCATGAATCTTATTACATCCTTTGTATTATCTACACGCTGAAGCTCATGGCATGCCTCACCCATGATTGACGAGTCACTTTCCCAAGATCTAGATAATATCCCAGCGCCTAGCCTAATACGAATAATAATACGGAAATAAGGGCCTAGTACCCCATTTATACTTCAGCCAATGCACGGCGGGCTGTGAAATCAACCCGTGACCGAAACTCCGCTCCGCAAGTTCAGCTCCGCCCGCAGCCTTGCACATATAAATTACCTCGTATGCACATTATTCCAACGTAACAACTTTGTGGATCATTATTCAGCTTTTTCATCATGGGTAAAATCGCTGTCGCCGGTGGCTCGTCCGGTTTGGGCCGGACTACGGTCGATGCCCTCAATGCGGCAAAGACTCACGACTACGTCGTCCTATCGCGCAAGGCTACTGGTCCAGAGACCCGGGCTGTCGACTACTCTGATATCGACGCTTTAACTTCACTTCTTGAGTCTGAGCAGGTCGACACAGTTATATCCATGCTTCCGATCGATAACGATGAGAGCGGACAAGCTCAGATGAATCTCATCGAAGCGGCTGAGAAGTCAACCAGTACTAAGCGATTCTTGCCGAGTGAGTTTGGAATGGTTTACAAAAGAGAGTGAGTGGCTATGCCTATTGATACTATATGAAATTGTTAACGGACTATAAGTAACATCGCCCACGTCCCTTCTTACCAATGGAAGCTCAAGGCAGTAGACGCCCTTGAAAAGACCAACCTCGAGTTCTCGCTGGTCTCAATCGGTCTATTCCTAGATTACTGGGCCGCGCCACGCATACCCACGCACATACGTGCGGCAAACATAATTATCGACCCCGAAAATAACGCAGCAGTGATACCCGGAGACGGAAACACTCCTGTCGTCATCACCCACTCTACAGACGCAGCAAAAATTATACCGTCGCTCTTCTCGATATTCCGAATTGGAAGCGCAGATATGCTATCGTCGCAAATCGCATGACTCTCAATGAAGCGGTAAAGCTGGCTGAGGAGGTTAAAGGCGTCAAGTTTGACGTTAAATATTTCTCTGTGGAGCAGATGAAGAGTGATGAGAATGATTTGACTCCGAGCATGAAGAAGGCGGTGCCGCAGGAGATGCATGGCGGTATGAAGACCATGCTGACTTTATCGGGAATCGGTATGGCTACGGGATCGAATGACATTCAGGGGATTGATGATCTGGTGGTCGAATTTCCAGGTATCAAACCTGTTACTGTTCGAGATGTTTGGGAAGCGTGGAAATAAAGTCAAAGAATAGCGGCAATGTATTTTAGAAATGATAAGGCAACTAGCTTGCAATAGAGATGTCATCATCCAAGAGCTAAAACCCCCATTGGCGACACCAGTTCCTCATCAGCTCCGGGGTGATCGGCCCAAGCTCTCTCATCGTCGGACTATGGCTCTTGGTCCTCTCCATCTCATACTTAACCGGCTGAACCTCATCTCCGACCACAAACATTCCACGATACGTATCCAAAAGCTTGACGCCAGGGTTCTTATCAAAGTCCACGTTCTCTTCCTTGGCACTGGCCTCCAGTCTCTCAACCCATTCTTCAGCACTAACCAACTTCATCTTGTTACCATAAAAGTCTTTCACCGCGGAAGCAATGTCGGACCAACTGGTCGAGGCAGGATTGACGCCGTGGAAGTAGCCAGAAATTTCTGAGATAGACTTCTGAACCGTGATGCCTGAAACGTCGAGAATAAGGCCTGAGATGTCCTCGATAGGAGTCCAAGCAATCTCCTGTTGCCCGCTGAGATGGTCAGGTAGGACTCCAAGATAAACTGAGCTTGCGATCATGCTTGGAATCATCTCCTGACGGTTCCACAGACCCTTCTCTCCCCTTGACCCCGCAATCTGTCCAACTCTCACCGAAACTGTGGGGATACTAGACTCCTCCGCAGCTGCATCAAGTATGAAACTCGCAGCAAGTTTGGATCGTCCGTATGCCATGATAGGCAAGGTCAGGTCATGTAGCGCCTTCTCAGGAACAGCTTCGGGCGAGGACCATCTATCGACCGTTCCGATACTCGAGATGAAGATGATAGGTACGTTCTTTGAAGCTGCAGAAGAGAAGTCGACGAGATGGCGTACGCCTCGAACGTGACTCTCAAACGAAGTCATGGTGAACTTGAAGTTCACGGGCCAAGCGTTGTGAATGACGCGGTCGACATCTGCAAGAAGAGAGTCATACTTGGACTGACCCAAGCCGAGGTCGGGAAGTGATAGATCGGCGTGTAGAAACTCCACTTTGGAGAAATCTGTTGTCAAGCCACGGAATTCGTTGACAGAGGGCTGTCGAGATAAACCACCATCCTCACTCCTGTTGAGAGCGATGACTTTCTTGACAGATGACAAACGACAAAGTTGATCAAGCATGTAAGCTCCCAAAGAACCAGTTGTACCCGTGACGATGACAGTTTGGCCATCATCAAGGGGGGCCTGTTTTCCAGTCTTAGGCGGTGGGAGGTTCTTGGTATACTTCGAGACCTGTGCCTTGATCTGATTTATCTCTTGCGTCTCTTCGTCGTCCTCACTGGCTCCACTTCGCAAGGACTGGATATACTCAGCCAGCTTTTTTGCCGTAGGGTTGCGGTAGATGACACGTGGTGCGAGTGTTGAAGTGTCAATACCAACTTTATGCAAAGCACCCCGCAACAGGTTCGTCGCTGTCATCACTTGCAAAGAGTCAACACCGACTGAGAAGAAGTCTGTATCCGGTTCGAGCTTCTCGACTCCAAGCTTGGTAACGAAGAGACTGATGATAGATTCTGTCAAAGCGTCGTCGTTACTCAAGTCAAGGGTGATAGATGGGCCATCTCCGAGCATCTCAGCCTTCTCGTATAAATCCGAAATAAAGTCGGCGTACAGTTTGACAGTCTTACCACGCTGCACAGTGCCCTTATCAGCGCGAGCAAATGGTAAACCAGGGTTGGCGAAAGCGATAAAATTCGCGGCAATTCGTCCATGAGCAACGGTCTCACCATTGGCCTTCTCGATTACCGGCCAGATTTTGTCGAGTAAAGCTTTGGCCTCAGCTTCATCTCTCGGCTGCGCTTCTGCGATGGGCTCAATGATGAGAGCTGCCTGAAACATTCTCTGGCCAACTACAAGGGCTGACTTGACAAGAGGATGGTCCGTAACAATACCTTCAATGGTAAGAGGGTTCAGTTTCTCGCCGTTGGAGAAGACGATGATATCGTCAGCCCGACCTTTGTAAAGCCAGTGATTCTTGAGCGTTGGGTGGGGTTCAAAGATGTCGTTGGTACGCCATTCGGATAGTTCAGGGAAATTGTAGAAACAACCTTGGCTTCCAGGATCCGATGCCTTGCGACGGACTACAAGCTCATACTCATTGGAGTCATGACGTTGCCAATCAATGCCCATTAGTTCATCATTAAAGATGAAGTATCGCCACAGCTTGGGGTCTTGGGGACTGTAAGGTGCCAGAGGGAACAGTCTTATTTCGTCAGTCTCCGCGCAAATTGTGATTGAGGAAGATACTTACTCCGTTGATGAAATGACGTTCCTCAAGACGACACCCCTATCTGCCAGCATATTGCCAGCCTCGGTTGAAAGACTCCCTATTACAAAAGTTAATAATACACAAAAGTAGTAGAGATTTTATTCATTTACCTCCGCCAGTAATAAGGAGTTTGAGCTTGGCCAGAGCCTCCATACCCTCCTCAGAAGCTGCCAACTCGTCGATAACAGAAGGCGGCAGCATTGCACCATCAGCACCACTATGATTCAAGTACTCCATGGCTGTATCAGCATTCAAAGGCTGGTTGGGAAACGGCATAACTGCAGAGAGACCAGTGTATATGAAGGACAGAGGGAGATAGGTTCCTGCAGCATGATACATGGGCATACCCATGAAGATCTTGCTCGCCCGTTCTGTCCATTCATTGAAAGGATATGGAGAACCATGAAACTTGGGCAGAGCAAGATATTCTTCAAAGGCGTACAAGATACCCTGTTTCAAGAAGACTGGCTTGGGGACTCCGGTGGAACCACTGGTGTGAAGCACAACAAGGGGGTCCCAACGCGCCTGTTCCATAGTTCTGCTGTAGGGAAACGGACTGGGAGTCACCGACAGGAGATGATCAATACTCTCTATCATGGCAACTTCCATTGTTCGTTGATCGAGGCAGGGCTGCATAACCGACCTGAACGACTCGGTTGTGTAAAGGTATCGACAATTCGTAGCTTCGAGAAGGGAGAGCTGAACGGCGGGGGTGTTTCGCGGAGAGATGAAAAGGGCCTTGCAGCCTGTTTTTACACAAGCCAGGAGAATGGCCGTGTATCGAAAGTCGTTGGGGCCGATAAATGCCACGGTCGGAACCTTGTCGTCTGAGGATTTGGTAACGGTTTTGGAGATATCATGGGCGAGGTAGTCGACGGCGTTTGCGAGTTGATGGTGAGTTACTGGCTTCCAACCATCACGAGTGTCAGATGATGATGGAGTATAAGCAAAAGCTCGATCAGGGTCGTTTGTGGCAATGTCGTGAATAAGGTCGATCAAGACATGATGTTTGACGTTCGACTCATTGTTGACAGGGCCTTTCTTGATGGCATTATCGGCTTGGTTTGATGCACCGCCTGAAACGGGGGCGTCGTAACGTTCGATATCAGCTCGCATAGCCACGTTCAATAATATTATAAGGATAACAAAAAAGAGTTGATAGTAATTGTGTGAGCGTATGTTTGCCTGATGTTCTTTTTGGAGAGTGATTTCTCACATCTCTCGACGGCATAACGTCTGGATATAAATATCGGAGGAATATTTCTCGTACGGATATACATCTACAATAGCCTCAATACCGCTCCTTAGCGTATCGGGCCGTGGATGGTGGCTAAAATGGGGGCATACAACTCGCGCGGATTTTCCACGGACGGCATTGCTGCCACACGGAAATTGGGGATCTGCATTTAGCCCACTGAGTGCCGACTCAGCCGTGCAAGGGTCACTATTTAGTCCATTTTCTCCGAGAATTGTACGAGAAAGGCTGTACACCGATAAATATGAGTTTCGTATATGCCTCAGCGAGTTAACGAAATCCGTTAACCGCATTATTCCCGCTGTGTTTCGTCACTAAATACGTACTTCTGATCTATATTAGTCCATCAAACGGGTGGAAGCTCCATAATTCCCACTTATTGTGTCATTCTCGATGTGTTCTTAGTCAGGTCAGTTTCCTTGAATTTCATCTCGCTCGGACCCTTCTCCGTGTAGATCTTCAGCACCGAATCGGGGTATCGGTGCTGTACAACAGCCGAGATGGAGACAGTCCGTCGCATCGGTATTCACAAGAGCCGACTGAAAGGGGAGAGTGTAGATCATCACATCGTCGCCTCCATTTGAAGACATAGAAACGAATAAGTGGGTGTCGTGACCCACTTCATGTTATCGGCATCGAAATGACAAGTCACCGGCATTTGCTTTGGCTAAATGATAAGTCTCACATGTATAGTATAGTAGTAATAAGTGCACTTGACATGTTACGCTTGAAGTAATCGTCGGTTTGAATGGTAAGTAGTATTGGCTACGGGAATAAGATGTTACATCGAACTGTATCTAGAGTTTAACTCTATTTTCTGAACTTTGATATATTAAAACTGCCTCAAAAGAAAAGTCGCATTTAGATAAGGACATAGAAACCCGCACAAAATTCAGTGTGAATCTCCGTTTAGCGCCGCACTTTGCACTTTTGCCAGCTTTTCAACCCTCACGTCCAATCAGGGATCATTGGTTGTTGGTGTAACCCGATATGAGGCTTGGGGCTGAAAAATGGGCATTCAAAAGCCCAATCATTTGAAGCATTTATTTATTTATAGAATCGTGGATTGAAACAGAGAAATTCTCATTGAACTATTTCAATTGTCGTTCCGCCTTATCTTTCCGTATTCAATCTTGTCTCTGCTTAACTTCTGTACCTATACTGCTCGAGCACCAATAACCGGCCTAGGCATATTCAAGCGGAATCCTCTGAGGATGGACTGTTCTCCATCAAGGCTAGAAGTGCTTGTTTCTAATGAAGAGGTCGAATTTGACGCTGACATCGCTGGACCAGGAGTAAGTCGATCGCCAATCATTCAGCACATGCGCCAACTAACGGCGACCAGGTACTAGCTGCTTTCCTTATCACGTCGTTGATAGCATTAGCTACTCTGATTCTAGCCTTTCTTACAATCTCAGTACCTGCGAGGCTTCTAAACTCCGGAGACGCCGTGATCGCTTCTGGGGCGCGTCGTACTTACCACCGATTGAGGGCTAAGTTCCCTAAGACTAAACGCACCAAGGTTGTCCAAAGCAGAAGCGAGCGGACTCATGCCTTCATGGCCTTCATGATTGCTATAAGCGACCAGATACTTGTCTCTCAGGCCTCCATTCTAATCGCAGCTCTCATTATTCACGACGAAATCACCATTTATTCCAGCAACATTGTGATCGCTCTAGGTTGTCTCGCGTCGACAGTTCATTTGGGGAGTTTTCCATTCTATATGGACCGTATTAAAGACCATAGCACCGCCAAGCTTATTAGGGTCCTTGCTATGATCACCGGCTCGGGGATGCTTGTCTTCCTGCTCGTTGTCCAACTATCGTACACCTGGGATATGGAGACCCACGTCTACTTTACTTGCACGTTTCAGGACTATCGGATGAATGACGACATGGGAGGGGCAGATTACATCAGTATCATCGAGCAGATGTTTGTTCCATTAACAGTGCTTTATGGCACGTATGAGATTGTTCAGCTTCTGCATCACAATGAGCCAGCAGATGACAAGTCAAAGGAACCTGGCTCCGGGGGTCTGTCCCCTATTACACGACGGAATCGATCAAACCTCGATGATCAGCAGTTCCCAGACAATGGGGGTATTGAACTTCAAAGGCTTTCCAGATTAGAAGACCAAACTAATCCAGAGAACCGTCGGCGGCCTAGCGATATGGAAGTTGAAAGCCAGGCGATTGTCTCCATTTTGCAGCTAATCTCGGGTAGCAACATAGAGATGGCGACAAACAACGAGACTAACTATCAACATCAACGATCCATTCTATGGAAGCCGAGGGGCGCAAAGATCAAATTCAAAGAGCTATCGAAGGAGATCAAAGAGTCCAACCGAGAGCAGCTCTTGAACAAGTGGCTGAAGCTAAAAGCTCTCACGATCTTAACCTCGAAACCGGTATCGCCGAGAAAGCTTAGACTCATTGTCACATTGATACCTGAAGCATGGGCATTCCACCAGTGTCGGGGGTCCTTCGCCTGGAGATTATTCTGGCTTTGGTCAGGCAATGTCTACGGGATTGTAACCATTTTTACCTCGCGCGCTGTGACAACAGGCATGTCAGGCAATCCCAACAAGATGGGATTCGGCCAGGTTGTGCCTCTAACTCTGCTGGCTCTCCCGATATTTGCAGCTTTGGAAGCCCACGCCGGTAATGTTTACTCTTCGCTCTATCTCTGGGCACTCTCTAATAAAAGGGTCTAGACTATAAGCAGAAACTCAAGTCAATTGAGAAAGCTCACCTTGATCAGGCGAATCTCGAAATACCTGTTACTGGGAGCGCGCGGCCTCAACCGAGAAGTCAATATCTTGCGCAGAGACAAAATCTGCCCCAGGAGACAGACATCGCACGTATAAGGATCGTACAAGACGTCCTCAAAAAGCGTGCTAAAGATATTGGATACCCGGAGCTTTATAATTGGGTGATAGGAGACAATTTGACCAGCGCACCGAGTCTCCAAAAGGGAGTTGCGGTTCATACCGCAGTCATGTTTACCATTGCAACTTTACTCGGATTTTCGATGGCCTATGGCATAGCAAACATCAATATTACATTGATTGTATTTCTGTTTGTTCTTGCCGCTCGTAGGCTCATAGGTCTCAGTTTGGTTGGATTGGATATGAGATCATGCCCCATGATCCTCGACCATCTTGGTTGCATTGGTCATTTAACTGTACAACAATCTGGAAGCCAGGGTGAAAGTATGGCAGCAGCGTAGGCGGCTGGAGACACTGGAGAGGATTTGGGGGACCAGGGGAGACAAGAAGAAGCGTGAGCAGGAGTTCTCTTTAGCTCAACTTCACTTTTACATTACTCCTTTTACGCCAATTTACTTAATTAACATGACTCTTATCAAGACCTTTAGTAGTATTGAGTGCTGTATACTAATGTATACCTGATATTTGAATCTTTGTATAGTAAGTTGTTTGCTAAATTGTATAAGGAGTTCTGGGAATTCAGTCCTCCTCATCGGCACCCACCAAAATCCAAGTGCCCTTGTTTCCGTTCTTGTCTGCTGCCTGAACTAGCATAGAGCCGTCTGCTCCTCCTGCCTTTTATCAATACAAGAAATATCGAAGCGATGGGATCACTCACCAGTGATAGTGACTTGAGCACCGTCAGGAAAGACAACGCCCTGGCCGACCGAGTAGGTGGTCGGTGCTGGTGGGGGTACCTTGTAGGTGACGACCGCTTTTTTGGAGTCGCCAGAGTATTGCTTCTCGCTGAACTTGCTGTTGTTAGGCAGCTCTTCGCCCTCGTCGGTGAGGAATAGATTGATCGACTTGACTGTTGGGTCACAGCTGACTCTAATGTAGTTGTTGGTGAATGTAATAGTCGCCATCTTGGCCCAAGTTCAGACAGTAAAGATATAAGATAATAGATGAGGATGGATGAAGAGATGATGAGTAGGGAACTATGCTGAAATATTGATGGGCAGGTTGTGATATTTATACCTAAATTCCTAGCCAGACTTTCCTGCGGTTGTTGCTGTGAATTGGCGATGAGGTTCAATGTCACGCTGGCCCTGGCAAATTTCCTTGGTCACACGCCTGATTTGACGAACCATACCACTGTCTGCAGGAAGGTGTGCGTCAAAATACCCAATGTGGCATACTAAGCATATAGAGCTCTTCCATTTTCATCCATCCCAATGATACCCGTAGATAATTGGGCAGAATATGTGATCTTTTCTGTCTCGTACTCCCACGTGTATAGCCATAAATGATGTCTAGGTCGTGGAATAGTCTCGACAACGGATTAATTAGTTGACGCCCCTCCAGTCTTAGCCTGTTCATTCTCTGCAAACCCTATGTCGGTTCCCTGTCGAGTGCTTGCTATCATAACGTGGCGCTGAGTCTGTAGAGCACCGTTTGCCGGATCATCGCGATCCGAACCGCATTACTCCATCTTTGGGTGGCCTGATTGGCTTGACTTGAGGGTCTAAAAGCCTTCACATGCTCTGAATACAAGCGGAGAGCTGTAACTTAGCCTTCCAGCGCTTAGCAGTACCTGCAATTCTTCTCTTTGGCTAGTGTTGGCTTACAGGCCAGAGGTCCATAGAATATGCTGGAATGAAGCACAGCTGAGATCGGGACATCGAACGGTGTCTCACTTACAATAAGTTCTCTATAGTGATCTAAGCCAATCACATATGCATGCTTAGTTACACAAGGGCTATGTGCATATGGTCTAGATGGAATGTTTGCATCGGGTCTAGATGGGATATGCGGCATTCATATTTGTGGCTTTTGGTTCTGTTCACCCTCCGGCGCACAGGATGTCGCAATGCATCAAGTATCTACAGCTTATCCATTATTCAGGAGTGACTTGAGACGCTGCATTGAAAAAGTTACGGGGGCACAGGAGGCATCAATCCTTTCCTTTTAGAAGCTCTTGAGATGCTTGTTCTATCTACCTTGATGTCTCTCGTGTATCTCGTGTTTTTGTTCCACATATGGCAAAATCGAATAAGCCAGTCCCAGCGAATGAAATATCCGAACATGGCAATATCGGGTTGGAGGAGCATCCCACAACACGAAAGGGCCTTCCGAGGGTGTCACTATCAAGGGCAAAAGGGGTTCCCCGTGCATCAATTATACGCGGCTTGCTACGAAATACGAGGTGCTGCCACACGGCTCCAAACATGAGGGGTTATGAGTTCGATAGGTTAGTTCGGATGCGGGATATTAGCTAAATATTGGCACTAAAGAACTTACCCGCTTTGCGGCGATTGGTCGCAGTCGGATTAAGCTGCCTCTTGGCCGGCCCAAAAAGAGTAACTCGTTAGTATTGAGGCGTCACAGCGACAGCTGAAGCAATTCTGCCTTCCCGTCACGATGCTAGTGTGGCGACTTGGCCGCCCGCCCGATGATGATACCTGGTCGGCTAAAGCCCTGGCCGGGTATAACAGTCTAAGACTTCGTTCACAAACTCAACTAAGCGGTTGGTAACCGACGATTAGAAACACGCTGACCAGTTACAGTCTTCCATGTTGGTTTCACCACGTTATGAAGGCAGTTTTCCGTATATATGTATGGAGTCAAAACAATTTTGGTGGCGTGTTTGAGTTTACAATTGAACATTCACCACTCTTTTGAGCTCACATGCAAACACAAAGTATATGCGATCCTATCGACAGCCCAACTAGTATTGATTATGATATGCTGCCATAGAGGTTCCTCAATAGCTCAGGTCCGTCACGTCCCCAAATTCCGAGCTCAAGTATAGTTCAAGTTGCTGTGGATACCAATTGCTTATGTGATACTCTCTGTAGATTCACACGCCAGAATCAGTAGTGATGATACTAAAGCTCGAGGTGACGGCTCTTTTCGTTCTCCAGCTCCAACTCTTCTCCAAAACACTCGTCGTCAAAGAGGCACAGGCCCAGACAGCATCCAGAGCCACCGCAGTATTGACCAGGGCAATAGCCACCCTTGGCGAGAGCCCTCGCCTCTTCGAGAGTTGTCTTGGCAAGATCTCCCTGGAACGTTTTATTAGCAAAGACATTCTTCAAGATTTCAACACGCGGTATGTGAAGGTAGGGGATGGCTCACCCTGTAAGCCAGCAGATTCACGTCTCGAGTCTCAAATGAGACGAAGTTTCCGTAGTCCAGGCTGTCATCAATTTCCCTTTCGGAATCGGATAATTCGTCAAGAGTCGAGCTCTGGCAGACTTTGATCTTGTCAATGATCTTCTGCAGCTTTTCTGGTAGGCATGGAACACAGTTGCACAGCTATAATGTGGAAGATGATTTAGCCGATTGCTCATTGGGATTGGCTAGATGCGTGACATACCTCTTTCAGCTTGACAGGACACTTCAAGATGGGCGCTTTACACTTGCATGCACCGGCAGCTATGATACAGGGCATAGCCTTGATAATCGTCTTCGCACACTTCAAGCCACACCCACCTGCTGTGGGTGAATCCATATTTCCTTCGGATTCAATGCCAACTTTGATGAACTCATTTGCGAAGCGCGGGCCCACTGGTTTCCAATTAGAGTCCAAGTTATAAATGATACTTTTATATCCAAACTTACAAGCAGCGATCAGCCCCTCCTCGATATCTGCCGGAATCACGCCAGTTCTAGCTTCCGGAAGCAAGGGCACAAGATGACGTTCGTCTCGTCCCTTCCAGGCTGGCGCGTCAGGCTTCCCGTCGTCCAGAACCATTTGGTCCTGATGGCTACCAGCATTGGCGCTTTCTGCATTTGCATAGACGTTCACGTTGAGAACGGTCGCAAATGCCGACGAAGCGAGTACAAGGGAGGCAATGGGAATCTTGTAGAGCATTGTGTAGTATTTGTGTGTGGTCTGAGTAAAATCGGGAAAGAGTGTGAGTAGTTATAGAGAGGAAGAACAGTAAGTCAAGTGTTCGTAAGGATGTTAAGTCAAGTTGAGCGTTGCATGAATTCCAATGGGATGATGGCTTTCTCTATATGCATATTTGAACCCGAAATGCTTCGGTCACTCCAAGGTTTAATAGCGGCAACAGCAGTAGATGAGCTACATAGTATAGCAAAGAGTCTAAGACATATGGCTGGCTGAAACAATTATCCCCGTGTTAGTGGTCTATCCTTAAACGGATCGTCTGCGCTAGCATTATCAGTCTGGTCATGCGATTATGAAGTCATCGAGATGTGACGGCGAAACATTGCTATCGATAATGTGATTCGGCCGTATTATCACTATCATGGCGGTGCTTGTCAACAGAGCATACAGCCTACGCCTACTCCGTACTTCCCTGGGATAAAGAGAGATTAACTTGTGACTCAAGTTGGTCATTGCATAATGACCTGTTAATTGTCCCTGGCGCACGAAATAGCGTCTGGAACTATCGATTCTCTGCGCAAAGTTCTCGTATCATGTCTTGGCTTTCTCAAACAAAGACACGCGTCTACACAATTACAGAACCAGCTTTCAGCTGGCCAAAGGTGGCGGGCTATACCTTGTTCTCGGTCTTATGTGATTATCATTGTCAACTCCCTTCTGCCAGGCTTGTCTGATTGGAGACCAGTTGATATGCCAATCTAAGAATGTGATATTGGACGCGTCTCGCATAATTAGTGGCATTGTCTTGCTTTCGGCATTTGTGGGGTTTCTCAAATCTAGAAGTTCTCTCCGAGGTGGCTGGTGTGATATGGTATATCGGACAAATCAGTCCGGTCTAGAGTCTACTTGACGGCATTCTGAACGATTCACAATAACAGGATAAGTTTAAGTCTTGCTTGGAGCTGAAGAGGTGTGCTACCATGAACCTTCACATCCTGCATGTTGACAGAAACAGACGATATGTAGGGTTCCTGCCTGATAACCAGGGTATTAATTGGTCCAAGAAGTTTTGCAGCCCGTGCATTGCATGAACCCCAAGCCAAGTACAGATTTGTCAGCTGCAGGAAGCTTGGCACATCACTTATTATCAGACACCTACACCTGAGAATTGTTCTTTCAACTACCCAAGTAGACAATGCAACCAAAATCATGAGTAGAGATGCTTATCGGGAGACACTGACTTGATGGACAAAAGTCTCAGCGCCAATAGCTATAAAAGAACGGCTTCCGTATGGGTTAAAAAGCAAGTTCAGACTTACAATTCTTAATCTAAACTCAATACCACAAGCCCCACCGTTGAAAATGAACCCAGTTCCTCCACCAACAACCCTACATGATGCCAGAAGGCAAATTCGTATCAGGCATCTTGAACAATTGTCCCATGCCAACATCGCTTTGACTCCCCCCGAAGATGACGAGGAAACTTTGATATTGCCATCTTGCAAGATTGTTCGTGCGGAGTTGAAGAAGTGGTCGCAGAACCATATTAAGAGTATCGAGGAAGCTATCCTGAAAAGTAAGAGCACCTGCTGCGATTTATTTCTACTGTACAGCAAACTGAAAATTCTCGATAGATGTCCTGAGTGGCAAAGAGAATATCGACTGGAATTGCTGCTTCTTAGCTTTTATGGAGAGCATGACTGTCTATCTGAGGTTGGTAGAGCACCTATGAAACATTTTGGCCTCGCTAATGATGAATATCATGAATCTAGAGACTGGGATAAACTTCACGACGCAGTCCAGCTTTATAAAAGTGTCAAGGCCGGAACAAGTCCCAATGGCGATCTACATCAGGTTCATGATCTATACGAGCAATCAGTAGAGGGAATCAAAGAAGTCGTGAGTATATGATTCTACCGGAGATGTGGATATATGTCCTAACCTTGATGCACAGGCGGCGGTCTGGGGCATGGATTTTATGCAAATCTGCGGTAAGTCCACTCGGTTGATGTTTCTCAGTTATGATGATCAAACGCATGCGTACTTACAAACCGGAAGATCTCACTAAGGTAAAGGCTTTCTTCCACACGTTATTGCAGAACATATACTGAAAAAGGCGCATCAGGGTCACAACGATACGAACCCCAAATGGAACGGGCCTTTTTGTGGTGCTTTCTTCCCGAAAGACCATAAACAGGGCGCTCCTTATGTTGGTATCACATTCAAGGTTAGCTACACATCACCCCGAATCGGAAGAGTCTGCTACTAGAATATGTTTAGGGGACCGATCCGAAAAACATCAAAGACATCAATGTCGACTCCTCATTCGATCCAATTCAAGTAGACGCCAAACATCTTTTCGGGACTGTCGTGTCTGAAGGCGTGTACAATGCACTGTTTGGAACTTTTAACGACAAAGATAGCGTTTCACCATTCGGTGGGTCATGTTGTCCTCATATTGCTTCGTGTGTACTGAAAATCGTCTGTTTGATTGAAAGAACTTATTTTGAATGCGCTTGAAGACTTTGTACCAAAGCTCCATGTCGAAGATAACACTGAACCTCTTCTCCATGTTACAGTCTGTACTTTCCCCTTCGCAGATCTCCTATCATACTAAGATTTCTATCTCAGGGACATTCTCTCGGGGGATCTTACTCCAGCTTCTGCTTCGCTCAACTCATGATGCAAAATGCCAGTTTGCCTGCTGGGGCCCGACTCGGTGACCTCTACAACTTTGGAAGCCCCCGTGTCGGCCAGAAGGCCTGGTCTCAAGCCTTCTACGAAAACCTTGGCGGCAATTTCCCTGGCGGTGCCTGGAGAATTGTCAATGATAAGGATATCGTTCCCCAAGTCCCTTCGTTGCTCAAGTACAAGCCGAAAACGGGCCCATTCTACCACATCGACAACGGGATACAGATTTTTAAAGAAGCTGAACCTGCTCCAATCGAAACTGAGAGAAATGGCCCCGGAAACGTGGACATAGGGTTTACTCGATTTGGCTTTGTCAGAAGGTTAGCCACGCAGACGTATCACTGTAAGTTTTATCGCGACTTTGACCATCTAGCCAAGTCATCTACTAAATTAGATATCTAGATCCGCTCTCATACTATCACGCCATGGAGTATGCTCTTGCCAATCAGTAGCTAGATATTGCACTTTTGGCATAGAAGTGGAGAGAGGTAATGAGTTATATAAAGGTAAAGCTTCTTGTACTTAGATTTAACGCCTAATCTATCTTTTTGAATTGATTTAAAAGCCAAATGTCCCTATATCAATGTGTAAGATGCAGCTGGGGGGTCTAGGATAGTAAAAAACACAATAAGATGCTTATTTTCAGCATGATGTAGTATCAGATATCATACACTACGCCAAAAAAGAAACGCAATAACCTTAATCTAAACTCTCAATAGGCCACACAGCTGCTGCTTTGAGCATCTATCTATACATACTGAGCTCTTCCCTCCCAGAGCCAGTGTAGAAACAGTTTAGCCAATCTGATCTTGTTTAAAGCATAGTTGCCTTCAAGGTGTTGAGTCTTCTGGGAAGAATAGAAGAGAAGACTCATAACTGGAATTTTCCAACTTTCAAGGATAGCGCAACGAGTGCCAGCTGGTAAAAGGAAGTGGTTGCCTGTCTACAGCCCCTGTAATTAAGCTTCAGGCAGGGCGGGGTAGAATGATACCCCTGAATGTGAGTGACGCTGAGCACGGCCGTGCGCTTCGTCGGTTGTCTGTGGGTCGACAGCCAGACGGGTAGCCGGGACAAAGTGACTGGCTTCGCATTGCTTTAACATGAGATCTTCTCTGGTGTGTAAGAATGATACGTAGCAAGGAGACTCTGCCTACGCAGCTGGTAGGGAGCTTCGCCGCGTGGTAATCATGATAGCCGAGTCATGCACCGCTTTGAACAATGATTTACGCCAAGAGCAATGAGTGTGGTCTGTACCAGGTGGACAAATTACCAGGGTTGCTATGGTCTAGACTCTCTTACTTCAAGTCACTGGTATCAGGGCGTCCATCTGTCATATCTTGCAGTCACAGCCTGACTCGTCTGTGTGAAAGATGCAACTTCAATCACAGGCATCAAACTATGATCCACGCGAAAGGTGTAGCCAGTCAAAGTTTTAATAAATCCCTGCACCTGCAGTCAATAATTATCCCATCATCGACCAGTTCGCGATAATAGTAGGTAAGGATAAAACGCCATGCCATCTCAAGTTTCAAATCGTAGTTCGCTCCTAGGCTTACTGGGAACAAGCCCTGCTGCATCATCTTGCATATAATTGAGATATATCAATTGCTTGAAAGAATAAGACATACAGGAAACTACCTACAGTTATGTTTCTTCGTGTCGCCAAATGAAAACAGATATCTTCATGAAGTGACGGGGAGGCGGCAAGTGGGAGCCCCGGCAGCTGAAAATACGCCAATTCATCAAGGCCAGATCTTTGGCCGCGTAATGCTGTCAGATAACAACCGACGCGGAGCTGCGCAAACGTATATTATCAAGAATGTGGCTACCTGAGAATCCAAGAACACGCTTGATAATGCGAGAAGTTATACGAAGCTGCCCCGTTTAGCCACCTCTACTCCATAGAACCATGCAGACAGGTCAGTGCGCCGGCGGCAACAGGAGAGCTCTGAACTATCTGCCATCACATCACAAGCTAGTGTGCCCTTTCTGAGCTAATAAGCAACCTCCTTTCCGACGAACCGATCTTGGCTAAAAGTTTATGATGTTAGTGAAGTGCGGGTGGCTCGTTCCAACCAGCTCCCCTACTTCGGAGGGAAATACCATACCGAACTTGAGATCAACTATACCAACAAAGAGATCTGTTAAAGTACTTGTATTTGGGTAAAGATAAAGAGATATGAAGTATGCTAATAGATAAATGAAATCTTGATGATTATTGTATACATACAATAATACAGAAAGCAATTTATATTATATTATTATTTTTATGTAAATGGATCTGACCTAGGTACTCAAGCTTGGTGTTTTACTTCCATCCTTCTAGCCTACGTATGCTTTTTTCAATTGTGGTGATGATAAGAAATACAGTTTCACTATTTTAAAAAGTCATACCATGCTGGTCCGATACCTTTCGGTACGGGTTCGTGAGTGGAAATGTGATATCTGTGATAAAAATGACCATCTGCATGTGACGCTAGCTGTGAGTAGAAGCTCTGCGGAGGGAAGCCAAGGCTGCCGTGTCTCGGCTCATTCTCGCTCAGCTGCTATTGGCTCAGCCAGATCTGCCAGTACTTTGTAGGTGGCTAGCTAACTACATATAACATAGTGGTATTTGAGATGATGGGGATGGGGGGTGCACGAGCATGTATGGATGCTGATTGACTTATCGCAGGTAATGTGACTACACCCACCTCGCTCGGCGTGGAACGGTCAAAGGGTTTGCGAGAAGTTGAGACAGCCAACCTTGAAGACTAGCCAAAAACAGGCTTCTCCATATATATCATGCTCGGCAGGACCTCACAATCACAATAAGCTAGTCAAGTACTATGGCCATTCAGGTTCCTGCTGACCCATTGATCTTTAGGATTGTTGTGATCTGTGCCCAGAATGGCTCCTCTGACCGGACACAAGGCCTCCAGCGTGGATGATACCGTTGAATAAGGCGATAATTGCTCATTTTAGGATATTTCTAATAGCCTGTTCGTGGTGAACGTCTTTCGGGTTCCCTGGGGTAGTTGAGCGTCAAAAGCGTGGACTCCCCCGATCCGAAGGGCGCTGAACTTGACCCATCTTCCAAAACATGTGCAAGAGGGTCAGAAGGCGCCTACTTGCCTCTTCTTTTCGCCAAGAGTTACTGCGGTATACCACAGCGATAACAAGGCCGGTCTCTACACAACTGTTCAAGGAAGGCCCCGTGCCGTCCCCTGGTAATCAATTCGTCTTTAATCACTTCTCAGCTGGCCACATTATCACTTTTCTAGCCGAATAGGAGTAGCAAGTTCTTATCAAAGTTTCTCAGTCAGTTCATTCTTCGATAGTCACTTCTTAGCTTGTCACACTTTCAGCTCTCTCTGTCAGTGTCATTTTTGATAGTCGCTTTCCAGGTCCCAGTTGAGCAAAAGATTCACTTTACTAACCGGAATGGCACACCTTTAACAGCACAACCACATATATAAACGGGCAGATCGCCAGTAACTGTCCTAATCCTGTGTCCTTACAACAATCTGTTCCAAACATATTCTTCTTTTCATCAATCAATCAACATGAAAATCACCAATTCGTTTTCGTCATTGTGCCTTATGTGCCTCATTATAGGCTTGACGTTTATAAAGTCCACTGCTGCTGGCTGCTGCCCTTGTAATATCTACTTGACTTGTGGAGACCAAAGTGGTTGCACGGTATACGAGTGCTGCAGTACTGCTGCGTGGTAAGCCATCGCCTTCGCAGCTTGTGTGCTGAACAAATTACTGATTTTTATCTGATTAGCAACATTTTCTGTTGCAACTGCGATGGACCCTGTAAAGGCGGGAAATCGACTGAGCTGTCTGATGCGAAGACTGAGAATATCTGCCTGTAGGTTTAGATCTTCAATGGGTGATGTAAACTAACATAAGTCGTTGCAGGAGCAAATTTAACGCTGTTGATGTGAATCAAGATGGCCTGATCAGCTTCCTAGAGTGGGCACAAAGTCGCGATGCCTTCGCTAGCCTAGGGCTGGACGTCTTAGCTGAAAGATGGAGCCAATACGATTGGGAAGGCAAGGGATACTTGACCAAGGATGAAGCTATGAACCGACGAATTGCTTCATCAAGACCCGACTCTGGTAAGTTTCCACGAATGCCGCCCGTACATCAATACTAAAGGGTCCTCAGATATCAAAGACACCAGCATGGTCGAGCAGCCATTTGGCTATCAGCCAGGACTTCAACGAAACCTCAAACCCAACGACCTTTCAAGAGGCGCTTGGACACTTCAATGGTTTACCGACGACGATTGTTCCAAGGGCAAGCACCGGACCGAGGGCACGAAGCCAAAAGGTTGCTCAAACATTGCTGGTGCAAAAAGCATTAAATTTACCGCCTCCCAAGGGTTTTCTCTCTACGTATACGGTAGACAAAACTGCAACGGGATCCCCAGAATTATTCCCAGCAACCCCGATTGCTACCCGCTTAATGTAAAGGGACTGAGCTATAAGGTTATGGGCTAAGCTATCTTATACAGAGATGCGGTGTTGATGTAAGGTATGAAGTGGCTTATTAACTTAAGAACCTCCGCCTCTTATAGTTACTCACTCGTAGCTCAGACTCGGCTCAGCTCAAAGCAGGGACTACTCAGAATTAGCAAGGGAGAAAAGAGACCTGGTCGATATTCTGTTTCTGTATCAGGCTGTATCTGAAATTTAACTATACTTTATTGAGCTCTACCTAAGTAAAAAGAAGATAATTCTCCTACCGGGTATTTCTAATCGGTTTAATGATTGTGAAATCTCCAAACAGTGTGGGAGGCTAGGTAATAACTTGTTACATATTAGGATACCGAATTCTGCCCATTCACCTCCGTCAGGGTGAAATACCTCAATAACTCGTTCTCACGTCACATCTGTCATCAGCACCTCCGTTCAATATTTCTTATTCCACCATATGCCGCTACCAATTCCCACTCTCACCCATCCCAGGCATTCCCCAGTTCATCGAGCTCCAGTTAAGCTGATTCATATTCACCGTCAACGGCGAACTACCCGCCATATATGGTGCCGAAGTAACGGGGTCAAACCCAGGTTGTCCACCCATGTTGAAGAACATGCCTGGGTCACCAAACCCAAACGGCATCTGAAGCTGAACACCATCCATTTCCATCCCAGCATTATCCTGAGCTTGAGGTTCGGTTGGCTCATTTCCTTGCAACGACATATCCGCGATCTTTTGGTTAATAACGTCTACCAGCTCTGGTGTCTCTATCTCCCTTTCTGCTTGTTCATAGGCCTTTTTAACCGTGTCCCAGGCACCCAGAACAATATTCGCAAATGGCTTGAAGATTGGGTGCCATCTGTCGACAGATGCTCCCTGAGACCGAGCTTCATAATTGTCCTTCATGACTTTCCATCCCCGTTCCGCAATGCTGCTAAACGGCTGGGTTTTCAAGTGCTGGATGATTCTTATGTAGGCTGGAAGAGGGAAGTAAAGTTGTAGAAACCATCGAAAGCCTTTCGTTAGAGGTGAACTTGATAGTTTTTCGTCGCATTCTAGCCAATTAATGGCGTAGGAGACTGCTGCTTCGTGGTTTGCTTGGTTGTATGTAGCTGATGATTCGAGATAGACGAGGAAGTCGTTCATTAAGCGGCATGTTGCGATACTAGCCCTCACCGTCCACAGCGTCATGTAGTGAAGACGGTTGTCAACATCACAGAACTTGAGGTACTTCTCCTCGACCATTCTTTCTAAAGCAATATCTCCACCTTCGGGAAGCTTCTTGGCCAGAGGCTTCATAAGAGGGTTCGTAAACGCAAGATAAAACGGACTATTCCGAGTATAATCCCCAAGCTCACTTCTCACAACAGCAAAAATAGCTTCGGTAGCTTGTTCTTGGACCTTTGGCGCATTTTTTGTTTCTTCCCGAAGCTCAGAGTCGCTGACGTTCATGGGCAAAGCGCAGTCCCACCCTGGGGCTAGACTCGTAGGTTTATGATCTCCCAAGGCGCTTACTCGGGAGTCGAAGAGGACAAGCGACCACCAGAGTCGTCTACGCATTTCTGCTTCTAGAACGCTGCTTCTAGCGTTAATGTTTTCGCTTTGGAGACCCATTCGTTGAGCGATGCGCATTGCGACGGCAAGCATGGATGAGATGGACTTTGGGTGGCTGGCTGAGCGAATGGAGACCTGGATCATTTAGCGGGTTTGTAAGACTGCGTGGGGCAAATGGCTTACGAGATAGAGGAATAATGCAGTCAAGCACTCTCGACTACCCGTACGGAGGAAGTTGCTGTTTAACAACGCCTGCTGACAACCGAATTGAAACCTCGTAGAGAGCTCCTCCTTGGTCTGTTTGAACATGGTCTGACATTCCTCAGGAGTAAGACTGAGTATAGCCATACAGTAGATACCAAACATGAGAGCTTCAAGAGTTGGAGGCACCTCTTTGAGATTCGACGCAGCTTCGACAATGCGACCTTGGAGGGTAGGTGTATGTGTGACTTTCAGGAGAGGGTTAACATTGTCAAGGTATACCTGCCAGAGCCTAAAGAGTTGAGCGGGTTCTGGGTGGAGAGTATAGAGCTCGACGGCTGTTTGACGGGAGCCGAAAAGCATGTGTTCATCATTGTTGTAGGATTGATCTTGGGCGTGGCTGATGGCTGTCTCGAAGAAGCTGTCGTTAGGGTCTCGATACTAAACCGGGGTCAGTAATGTTTATGATGCGGAATTGTTGTGATCTTATTACCCCTTGGCGCATTGCATGCCAAATGTTCCTATACTCGTCAGCTCAAACTCACCGATTCATTGAGGACTTTAACTCACTTAACCTCAGCTACACCCTCAGCCCTGCCCTGCAACGCCTCCTCATCTCTGTCGGAGTGATAATCATTCGGCGAACTCTTCTCAGACCCATGATCATCATGCAGCGGATCAAATTTGACATTATTCTGCTTCATCAACGCCTCGTACCTCCTCAGCCTATCTAACAACTCACGCTCAGGAAAGCGCCGTCTTCGTTGTCGGGGCTGAGTAGCTGGGACGCACTGAACCCCATGTTTGACGCAGTTTGAGCAGGGAAACGTGCGGTCGCATTTGACCTTTCGTTGTTGGCAGAGAACGCAGGCGAGGACCCGATGGGGCTTGGGTTTTGATGAGTCTGGGGTGGACATGGTGGCTTCGGGACTTTGGAAACCCGAGGAATACGGTTTTTCGTATAAAACTCAGATTCCCGATGGGAGAAGAAGGTGGACTTAATATGCAGGTGTTGAGTTGGGCGTCGAGACTTTTCGTATCAGAGGAATGTGTCGGGCTTTTCTAAATCCCGAGACGGCCCCGCTTTTGTGCTTACTTGCTGACCCGTGAGGTTATCTCGGTCTTTACTATTGTCCGACTACCAATTTTTATATCACGCCTGCTCATTATGATACTCAATTGGGCAATACACAAATATTACTGATCGCCCAGGGCATAATATTGAGCCGTATTACTTCTCATGGGATGCTCAGTCCCGATGGTGTTGGCTCCGGGACCAAAGACTTACCCGGTAGTCATTTCTATGGATAAAGGCGTGGAATCTTCATTGGATAGATGGAATCAATACGAGATATCTATGCTATCTATGAGTATATTGTCGCTCTCGGAGGAATATGGAGGAATAAAATGGGATTAATGTCGTATCAAAGTAAGACATGCGTGTATCAGCGTCATACCAACTCTGACGTCAAGACTGTGTATGATGCGCGCTGAGTGACCTCACGAAGGTAATAAATATTTCTATACCAGCCACATCTTAAACAACACCTTTGTAGTCAAAATCCTCACTATTGTGTATATTTCTTTCAGCCACGCTTTATCTCTGATTTGTCAATCAACTAGACCACATCTTCCTGCATCCGCTACCATGCCCAGCTATACCGGAAAATGCGTTTGTGGCAACGTCAAATACAGCGTGTCATTGGACTCACCCGATGACGCACGAACTTCACTTTGTCATTGTGGAAGTTGCAAAAGGGCATTTGGAACAAACTTCGGTCTTACTACGAAAGTATATCTACTTCTCTTAACTCAAGTAACCTATAGCTGATCATACCTAGGTCGCACTTGATGGTTTCAGCTACGACCAAGGCAAGCCCAAGACATTCAAGCAGGAGAACGGGGTAGTCCGAGAGTTTTGTGACAATTGCGGTGTTTTCATATGTGAATACGGTGTAAGGCCACTGTTGGACCTGCGCGAATGCATGGACTGACTTGATGATAGGAACAAGCCGCTGACAAGTTCCGATACATCATTTGGGGTACCTTTGATGAACGAGAAAAGTTCCCTCCTAAAGGAGAGTTCTTCTGCAAGTATAGAGAGACTTGGATGCCAGAAGTACCTGGTAAGTAGATTTTTTCTGTGCCAAATGGGATACTGACATTCATGTAGATGTCTTTCACAAGAATGAGATCAAGGATTAGGCAAGGTAATGAGAATGAGCTGCCGATATTCCGATCGTGGCTATCAAGATCCACTGCTAGAAATCGTCGAGTACAACAAATATGATGCTTGCGACGCTCTATATTTCTCTGAAAGCTTCAGACTATCTTAATCTTCTCCCAAGTAACTTCATCAGTAATAGCCTCTCCCTGCATAGCGCCGTGTACGTATGCCTCTCCAATGAGATAATAATCATGTCTCTCTCCCGATCTTCTCAAAATCAGCGGAGCAGGGGACCCGGAGATAATCCAAACCTCATCCCCGGCTTGAGTCGATTCATGTCCCATGCCCAAATACCCCGTGTCAGTGAGGATGGCTCTGCGGTTAATCCATGTCGACGCCATGATATTACCAGGCGGCATAGCATGTTTTGACAGTGGTTCCATAAGTTTCTGGAGCTCCTCCTCATCGCAGCCATCACTATCTTGAGGTATAGTGTCCAAGCTGGCACAAAGGGATCTGACGAGCCTTGTGCTGGGAAATATACTGTCAGGGAATTTGGCAGCTATTTCGTCCAGGTAGGCCATGTCACTTATTGATTGGAGGACCAGAGCATGGCCAGCAGAGGCTGACCCCGCTTCTTTGAACACATACTGTAGTGCACGTACAAAATTATGCGCAATGGCCCTCTGGAAGTCCTCCAGTCGAATGAGCTTCGAGGGCCTATTTGTAAAGTCAGTATCCCAGATCATAGTTCTCCAAAGAACCTCGTCTGCCTGTTGGTTTGTATATGTATAGGTCTTATCCATAGTAAGAAGAATGTCGCCAAGCATACTGAGACGGCCTTGAAGGCATTCAAGAAAAGTCTCGCCTATCTTCTGAACTGTGCCGAGGCGAAAGCCAAAGACGTTAAGGACCTTTCCAGTGATGGTGAATGGATACTTATTGGGAGAGTGGGGAATGTGTTTCGAAGAATTGAGAGTTCCAAGAGATCTAAAGTTTGGCCCATGGACACTGTTGTATAGAACCGGTGGATAGTCAGGGACCCAAGATGGAAGGCCTGGTGTTTTCCGCACGCTGGGGTCCTTGACTAGGCTGAGGTAGACAAGAGAATCAGTCGTCTCGATGATGTTGCAGGCGATGATTCGCAGCAAGTCTTTGATTTCGATATTGTAATCTGGCTCGAACACCAACGGCAGAGACACGCCCTCTTGAGCTGCCATATGCTTCAAGAT